CCGGATGAGATGAGTACCCTGGGATGCGGGTAGCTGGGGAAGTAGCAGGCTGCTTAAAGGCACGTGGCGGTATCGCACGATAAGCCGCTGCACCAACATCATTGGTGAGCATACGTGCTTTGCGTGCTCGAAGCGTAACGATACCGTGGCCCTGTGTGAGTGTATGAGGCCAGAATACCCGGCTGCGCAGGTTGCGACACCCCTCGGCTTCCTCATTATGCAGGATTTCATCCAAGCAGGATGAGACACCGCCTGGCCTGACCGGTACGTTGGTGAACAGACGGAGACCTTACGCAAGAGGCCCTCTGCACAAAGCAACTCCCGCAGACCAGGCTGCTTAGTCGTCATGCGGTTGAAATCACCTGCAACAAATAACTCATCCCGGTGAGGCCGCGACGCTAGATACGAGAGCAAAGCCTGTCCAACGTCAACCAACTTATCTCAGTACGCGACGTTAACGTGAACGGAGCAGGGACTAAGACAGCGACCCCCGAGCTACCTGTGCCAGAAATAGCAGGAGACGACACAATAGCTGTGCGTGGGAAGGTGTGCCAGTTGGTCTCCTGAAGGCATACAGGCCCTTTTCTGAGAAGGCTGCAAATAGTTTTGGTTTTGCATTGAGCAGAATCACTCGTCCACCGATCGTCCCTTGGGTCATTCGGCACAGCACACGTACTACGTACGGACGGCTCCCCCTGCTCAACCCTTGGTGAAGTTGACAATGCCTTACGTGCTACGCGTGCTTTTTGGCAGCAGTCCCCACCGGACTACTCTGCGGACTGGGAGCTTGTTCTCGACGAGTATATGCCACGGCATGTGCAGCATTGTGCCCTCCCGCTTGAAGAAGACATCATGTTTCATCTTCTGCGCACAGGGGACTCCTCTGCGGGGTCCGACGGCTGTCCTTATGCGTGTTATCGACAGCTCCCGTCGGAGTCTGCACGAGTACTGCGTTCCCACTTCCTTCACATCGTTCTTGGACATGCCCCCCCACCCACGCAGGCCCTGACCTTTATCCCCAAGGCCGATGCAGGCCACTACGCGGATAATTTTCGCCCCCTTGATATGCCAGACACGGCGGCTCGCATTATCGACTCTGCTGTCTTTGCTTCCATGATGTCGGCTCTTGCCCCCTGTCTGCATCAGTCGCAAGCCCTCGTCAGTCGTCTCAAGGAAGCGCCGGCGAACTTTATGATGGTTCAGGATTGCGTCCTGTCTGGATCCGTGCAATGTGCTACTCACAGACATGGCCAAAGCCTTTGAGCGGGTCAACCCTGGATGGCTACTCGAAGTCTTGCAACGACTGTGCGTCCCCCACTGGGTCCGACAGTACTCCATTCATCTTCTTTACGGTCGTCGATCGCTACATCGCATTCAAGGCTTCTTGCTTCCTCCTTTGCGTATGCGCCAAGGACTTGCCATGGGCTTCGTCCGTCTTACTGTTTTGTATCGCCATGGACCCTCTGATCTGCACCCTGCACCGTATTCCCCGTGTGCGCAGGTTGAAGGCATACATGGATGACAATTCCACGGCTGGAGCTGGAGTGGTGTGGATTGACGCCGCCCAGCTCCGATTTGCCTCACTACGAACTGCGGGTTTCCATGTTCTGACGCATGAGTGCTTCTCAGCCTCACAGTTGTCAGTACAGGTTAGAGAACAACTCCGTCATGCCCACCAGTCTGCCCCGCGCTCGCTATGAAATCGATGGATCTGCCTCCCCCGATCCGGAGGACGGCATGCTTACTACAGAGGATCCTGGCCTGACCGCCGAGCTCCGCGTCCCCAACGCGCCGGACATTCCATGGAACCAGCGAGTGGCTACATTGCTGGATGCCGTTGACATCCCGCCTGACCGCCTGGTGCCGGGAGTTGATTCAATCCCCAGCAAAAGTGTCCCACCCGAGGAGGAGGAGGACTTTGGAGAACAACACGAGATCCTACGCAACTTCCAGGCCGCGGGCAGATTACAGCGGCTCAGCGAGGGATCTGAAAGTGCAACGGCTCTACGGATCTTCTCCCCAGCAGAGAGGATTGCCTTTCCCTCCTGCCACTGCCTCTTTCGCTGCCTGCATGCGAAGTTAAAATCAGCCCTCAGAATTTCGGAGCACGTATAGTGGACTTTGCCGATCGTGCGCTCATGCTGCGACACTGCACGGCTAGTGAGGCCTTCCGAATGTGCCTCACGCCTATTTTGGCGGTTTCCATAGCCCTTGCTCAGTTCTGCGACCCGGTGCTACGGCTGCCCGAAGGTCGAGTTTTTGATCTGTCATGGTATGAGTTGGCGCGCCCGGAAATATGGTGGTGGCTGTTGCTGGATGAACTGGATGGACTCCGATTCTCGCTTCCCTATGCCAAAGCGGGTATTAAGTCCCCTGTCCGTGACGGTAGCCTCATACAAATGTCCCTGGCGCCTCGGAGAGGATCCACCGAGGCCGGTAAACGCCGGGGTACCGGACCGTCTGGCACACAGGTCGACCCGCCGCAAGGCACTCCCCTTTTGCATTGTGGAGTGTTGCTCCCAATACAGCTTGTGTTCTATTTGGCTCGGGCCCTAACCGACGAGCCGGAGGCGGCTCCCCTCTTGCAGATTGTACGTGTTGCACCTGTTGAGCACAATGGCCTCCAGTTCATTGAGCTCAGAGTCAAAGCCGAAGTGCCATCTTCTATGGTGGGCCAACCCCAAATTGCAAACGCTGCCCGCATGATGGAAGGCTTTCACCGAGGACTCCTCCCAGCAAGGCGCGGGGATTTTGATCCGCAAATGTTTTCATACCCTGGCCTCTGTAAGGGCACCTTTCGCCTCCTGCTTCCCCTTGATGATGCATCCCTGGGCCTGCGGGCGCAGCGCGCACTTCCTCTTCAGTCTGCAGGACTTTTGCACGCCGCATTGTGTCGCCTTCGCCTTCGCACAGCTGCTATCACCAGGGCTTGGGAACTCAGTGCCGTGGTAGTGTTCTGGTTACGCGGCCCTAAAAAATGGACTTCTACTTCCCTGTACGCTTGTGGCGCTACGCCCATTTCGATGCATGGGACTGCCGGGCCCAAGTGCTGATCCATCGGTTGGTGGCACAAGAATCCAATCAGGGTGCTATGCCAGACGGTAGCAGGCCATGGTATCGTCTCGGGCACTCTAGGGGACAAGAGGATTGGCGTGCTGCGGCCGAGACTTTCAGGAGGCAGGGTGGATTTGGCCCCGGCATCCAACTTCCATTCATCTCCGAAGATCTTATGCCGCATCTTCATGAACCAGACCACGGCGTGCTTCAGTATGGCTACCAGCGTCTCAAGGGCATGTATGATGAAGGTCAGTACCAAATACTGTACCTTCTGCGTGAATCTCACTTTCCGAGAAGTGGCAACGACATGCAGCGCCTTCTTGAGCCGTGGCCCCCACCCTAGGAGAGAGGCCCCTTCTGCATGGGCGCGATCGCCGCAGCAGCCAAACCTTTCGACATACGTCGAAGGGTCGTGCCACTGCATTGGACTTTGGCCCTGGAATTGTGGCCCCCGTGCACGATCGGGACACAACAAGACATCGGGGCCGACCGTTGTTCGACGGAACTAGAACGGCGGCCGGAGCTTTGACTCGGGCTCCACCGATTGTCTTGGACAGCTTTGGGCGACGGCCCACTGTTGTTGTGGAACGGTCGCTGAGGACCCGTAGCTGGTGCTGAACGGCCAACACCGGCAAAGCCTGTGCGCCGCAGCTAGTTTCGCCCTCATTAATTAGCTTTTGTCTCACCGCTGTTTGGTTTGTTTGTTGGTTTGTTTGTTTGTAGGGACCGAGTGCTACAGCCGTAGCCGACGAGGCCCGCTCACGCCAAAAAAAAATGATTTGGAAAGGATAAAAAGAACAAAGGATTCGGAAAGAGCAAGGGAAAAGGATTCGGAAATCACAAGGATTTAAGGGCAAAAGGATTGAAAGGAAAAGGAAAGAGTCCTGTAAAAGGCAAAGGAAAAGGAAAAGACACAGGATGTTTCCTGTGTGGATCACAGGATCATTGGGCCAATGAGAGCTCAGGAGAGAACGCAGAGTCCTGATTGGTTTGAATACCAAGGAGCATTGGGAGATTAGTGGTATGATGGCAGCTATGACTGGTCTCAGGATTGGTGTAACGATTCGTCGTGGCACTGAGCTGATTGGCCTCAGCAGGCACAGTTAGCATTTGCCGCCGCCAGCTCAGCCGATTGCGCCTCAGGCAACAGCAGCCCCCGCTGCACCCATTGGTCAGGTTCAACCGCAGACTGCTGCCGCATTGCAGGACTTCCGCCAGGATTGTCACCCTCTGATCAGATTGCTAATGACAGTCTCATCAAGCAGTAGCAGCTCGAGTAACTCGAGAGGCTCAGGCATTGCCAGCACGCTTTTCGTTGGAGCATTGATGCTAATTGGTACATTGTCTTCCAACGTTCCCGCACTTCCAGAACATTCTCCATTGAGTGCTCCCATTTTAGGTGAAGCACCATTGTTGAGATTTTCTTCCGCATCCTCCATTGAGAGTGACGTTGAACTGAATCTCGCGTCGACTGAGAATGAGGACAGATTGGCTTCATTCCACAACAGCTCAGGACAGATTGAGCGAAGCTGGATACTGTTTGACAGTGGTGCATCAGCAAATTGTGGCCCGCCATGGTTTGCCGAAGACTATCCGTTGATACCCGTTGGATCGGATTGTCCCATCCTCAGGAGCATTTCAGGAAGGACATTGGATGTCATAGGCAAACGTGTTGTTGAACTTGATTGCGGTGGTCATTCGCTGTGTGTTCATTTTTATGTGTGTCAGCACATTCCGTTCCCATTGGTTTCTGTGTCTAGATTCCTTTTGCAGGAAATTGGACTGTATTGAGTCGGAACTTCATGGCACTCTTGACCCCAGATTGCAAGCCAGTCCCGATTGTGCGTCAGGGCACTTTGGTCTACTTGACTCCAACTATTGTTCCCTTTGCTCAGTCTGATTGTCAGTACAACGAACTGCAGATTGCAGCTGTCGTGGCAGAGATGGACTTGGGAGATGGCGACATTGCGCTTCGAGGCATCACTGATATTGAGGATGAGTATGATCACATTGCTCAGATTCATTCGTTGATTGCTGCAGCTAAGGCTAAAGCCAAAGCCAAACTCAAACCCAAGCCCAAAACATTGCCTAAGTCAGCCGCGAAAGCTAAAGCCAAAGCTGACCCGAAAGCTGCACCTAAAAGAGAACATTTCAAGAACACCGACTATTGGGTCATCAACGAAGACAAGAACGTATTGGTCCGTTTTCATGTGAAGCCACGCCAGTATTTGATGGCATTCAGATATCTCCGAGGTACATTGCCTGTTGATGAAAAGCGATTGACAGGCGAGAGAGAAACGGAGCGCCATTTCAAGGATGGCACATCTGATGTGATTGTTGACAAGGACTTCAGGGTATTGGACGATGATAAAGTGGATAATCGCGTTCAGCTAGACCCTGAGAACATTGTCTCGTGGCGAGGTCGTACAGTTTTCAAGATGAAACCATTGACAGGTAAAGCATTGGAAGAAGCGAAAAAGGTTGCATTGCGGTATCAAGGACCACCTACAACTGCATTGCAAACCAACCGCTTCCGATTGTCACCGCCTCCGCCCGCCGAGATGGTTCCGTCATTTGCCCCCACCCGCCCAACCCTCGTCTTCGTCCCTTGATGTCTCCAACCGAGGAACCGAAGGAAAGATTGACCGACAACATATTGTTATGACAGAAACCGAACGAAACATCATGAACAGATTGCGGTCAACAAAAGAGTTTAACTCCAACATGAAGGAATTGATTGTGCGGTTGTTCTACACCAAGGATCCTCAGACTGATGATACCCGTACTACGGATCATTGGATTCAGACTCCAACGCATTGGATAAGGATGGTGCATTCTGAACGAGATTCCCTCATTCATCCTGACAAGTGTCCCTCTGTCCCTCTCCATTGTCGTCAGCAGATCCTTACGAGTTTGGAAACCTGCTGATTGCAAGTAGGTACACGGGCGTTCTGGATTGTTCTGATCCTGAGAAGAACGGTCTTGGGATTGAGGACTATTGGTGCAACTACACAGATTCTTCAGGAACTGACAAGTCTCCGGAAGAAGATCCTGATAGGAAATTAGGATTTCGATGGTCTGGATTCTCGGTCTTTGTGATTGCAAACCCCATGGAGACTGATCATCCTGTCCCTGAAACTATTGATGTCACTGCGAGACCCCCTAAAGGATTGAGAGTCCCGTCAGAGCTTTCAGCAGCTGAGCGTCGCCAGCATGAGTTGACACATTTGCCTTACAGAGATTGGTGTCCACAGTGTGTGAAAGCGAAAGGCAGACACGGCGCGTCTAAGAAACAATTGGACAGACAGCCAGTCATTCAGGTAGATTATGCATATCATGCTACTGACCCAAAACTCCCCCTGAGGAAGCTATTGACGGCAGTTGACATTGTTACAGGTCTGGGAATGACCATTGTGGTTCCTAGCAAAGGAAATGATGATTATGCAGTTGCCGAATTGAAGAAGTTCATCTATGAGTGTGGACGTACATTCGGCATTCTCCAATATGACAAAGAATCATCATTGAAAGCACTGTGTGTCCGAGTATGTGCTGAATTGGGAGGCTTCAGCATTAGAGCAGCACCACAAGGCCATTCACAGGCACAGGGCTCTGTAGGACAAATGCAGAGAACATTCTACGGACAATTGAGATCATTGATGTACCAAGTTGAGTTCAACTGTGACATTCAAGTCAGCTCAGACAGTATCATTCATCCATGGTGCGTCAAGCACGCCCAGTGGTTATTGAACAGGTACTTGATCCATTCGGATGGTAAGACCTCCTATTTCCGTAGATGGAACCGGAATTATGAAGGTGGATTGTGTTGCTTTGGAGAAGTTGTTCAGGCCAAGGTCATTTCGCCTAAATTCTCCAAAAAAAATGACGTTCCATGGAAAACTGCATTGTGGATCGGACGTGACACTGAAGCAGACGAGATCATTGTTGCTTTGCCAGAAGGAGTCAGGAAAGTTCGTACCATTCGACGATTTTCTCCTTCATTGCAGTGGAATGCAGATCCAGTCAAGAATCTTCAGGCATTGCCATGGAAGCCACGTGTCGCAGAAGATGATTCCACGGACTTCATTTATCCGGAAGCATTGAGCATTCTGCAGAAGAGCCGTGGCTCGACTACAACAACTGCAGTGAGAGAGATTGCACCTCCAGCTGAACCAGTCGTGATTGAAGATCCTCCTGAAAGAGAAGAGACGCTCGTTGATCCGTCAACTCGATTGCTTGACTGCTTGATCCAAGTGAATTGTCTGTTGAGCAGAGAGAGGCCATTGAGTTGCAGGAACAGCCTCCTCATGAAACTGAGGTGTCAGAGCCAGAATTGCCTTTCTCGCCAGGCATTCGTCGATCAGGTGATCAGATTGAGGAGGCACAAGCAAAGTCCTTCAGGATTGATCCTGAATCCTGACACTGAGGTTAAGACCTCACCTACTAAGTTTCAGAGGATTTCTGCATTGCGCTCAGTGACATTTCATGTTGCTTCAGCAGTTCAGTACATTGCCGGCATTGTTGGAGCTACTGATGTCGTCATGAAGGACGGTGTTGCCGTTCCCGTTCACGTGAACATGGATCACGAGGAATTGCACCAAGAAATCAGATTGTCGGAACCCGTCATTTGGGATACAACCAGAGAATTCCCAGCTGAACCCCAGCGCATTGGAATGAACAAAGAGATGCAGTCGATGAAAGATTTCAATGTTTACACTGAGGTTCCTATTGACAAATGCTCTCAGTCTGACATTGATGGTGCGATTGGTGTTAGATGGGTGAAAAGATGGAAAACCGACACTGGATTGAGAATGAGATTGGTTGTTCAAGGATGTTTCCAGGATTCGTCAAAAATTGACACTGACTCTATTTATGCAAGCACCCCGTCGCTTGTGACGTTGCGTCTATTGCTCTTGATGTCATTGGCTCGGTCATGGGAGATTAGCCTTGCCGACATATCAACAGCATTTCTTCACGCGTTCATTGAAGATTCGGTCTACGTTTGGCCCCCTTCAGAGTACTATCCGAACTCCGATTGCTTGTGGAAACTAAATCGTGCCATGTACGGATTGCGTCAGTCACCCAAGTTATGGCAGGACCATTTCGCCAGTGTGATGGTCAAATTGGGTTTCCGTCGTTGTAAAGCCGACAGCAACTTGTATTGCCACAAGTCCCGGAATTTGTACGTATTGGCCTACGTAGATGATCTCCTCATTGTAGGTGATCCGAAGCTGAAGAAGGAATTCATTGACGCACTGAGCGAAGAACTTCTCGTGAAGATCACTGGAGAATTGAAGCCAAACACCGAGCGCAGCTTTCTCGGCAGGAAATTGAGGCACAACGGACATTCCATTGATGTTCTCATGCCGAAACAGTACATTGAAGACCTCCTGGAATTGTACTCGATGAACAAAGCAAATCCTGTGAACACCACAGGGTCAACCTCATTGAAGCGGATTGAGGACGCTGATTGCGCATTGGACGCTAAGGCGCATTCGCTCTTCAGGACAGCCGTTGGTAAATTGCTGTGGCTAGCATTCGTCCGGCCAGACTGTTCTTACGCGGTGAAGGAATTGTCGCGTGACGTCAAGTCCCCGACGATTGAGAGCTTAGCCAAATTGAAGCATTTATTGAGGTATCTTGCGGGTACTCGAGATTACGTATTGCGCATTAAGCCTACACATATGCTGTCTGATTGGACCTCTTCGATTGATATTGTGTGCTACGTCGACAGTGATTGGGCAGGCTGCAGTAAGACAAGGAAGTCTACGAGTGGCAGTACTGCACAGGTATTGGGCTCGGACATGATTCACACCAGCCGAACTCAAGCGACTGTAGCATTGTCGTCAGGCGAAGCCGAACTGTATGCCATTGGACAGGGCACTAGCGAAGCATTGTTCTTGAAATCATTGATTCTCGAGGCAGAATTTGCAAAGCGTGTCAACATGGTAGTGTACACGGATTCGACGGCAGGACGATCCATTGCAACGAGATTCGGAGCAGGTAAAAAGACCAAGCATGTCGAGTTGAGATACTTGTGCATGCAAGATCTCGTTCGAGCAGGCATATTGAGCATTCGTAAAGTGAACACCAAGCTCAATCCCGCTGACATATTGACCAAGTATTCCCCGACTGAGGTTCTCAGGAATCTCACACACAAGTTAGGCATTGTGAACATTGCCGACGAGTTTCACATAGACCCCTAAAACCAAACAAAAATTGTTTCACGTTGCAAGCTAGGTTTCGTTTGAGGAACCGACTGTCTTGACACAAGTGCGTCGAGATTGCGTCTCCGCCTTACCAAAAGAAAGAAGAGAGAAAGGAGTGAGAAAGAAGAGAGAGAGAGAGAGAGAGAGAGAGAGAGAGAGAGAGAGAGAGAGATTGAGAGTCAGACATGTCAGTTCTCCGCAAGTATGTTGATTGATTTAGATTTTCTGATTTTCTTCTTCGGTATTGCCCATTTTTCATTAAAGGCATCGCCACCGCCGATTGTGCTGGCCAACAGGGAAGTTGGAGCACAGTCAAAATTGCATGAAACGATTTGTTCAAATTTGTACGTACATAGCGGATGAGATTGAAGCCTGGAACAGTACATTGCAGAAACTGCATCGGTGTACAGTATTTCGAGCTTCTTGGATTGCATGCCAGTGATTGAATCTTGATTTTGCTTCTGCTTGCAGTCATTGATCAGCGATTGCGACGACAGCATTCTCATTGCGACTGATTGTGCCATGGCATCCTCAGCAGCAGCGTCGCCGATTGACACTGCTCAGCAATTGATCACTCAGGCCCGTGGAGTGATTGACAACTGGGATTCACAGAGAGTTGTCACTTGGGCCCAGACATTGATTTCATTGCTCATGATTGGCGTTTTCAAAGAAACTTCGACGACGGTGACATTGAGCCCTTGGATTAACCTCTATATGGAGATGCTGATATTGATGAGTCAGCATTGTGACTTCGAGGGCATTGATCAATCAGCGATTGCATTGGTCTGGATCCAATTGGAGCGTTCATTGGTTCTCGCAACCAAATTCTACTGCAGGATTGAAGAAGATTTGTTTCGCTTCAACATTGATCCAAGCTTGATCATCAACCAACCGTTCATTGCAACTTCGTTGATTGCTTCTACCTCCATGCGTTCGTCATTGTCAAAGGTGATTGGGGCTCGCTGGTGGACATTGTCACCAGAAGTGGCAGTCGACAGAACCATTGATCTGACAAGGTATTGGTTTTGTCCGGACACTACGATTGAGCATGGATTGACCAACGCATTGAGTCGAACCACATTGATCAAAGGAGCTATGCCGCCTGTACACTGGCAGACCTCTGGCTGTGGATTGCTCTACCCATTGAGTTGGCAAGAAGTTTGCTTTCTCCACAGGGATTGAACGTGGCAAGATTCAAATCCCACCAATTGAACTTCGCATTGGCTCCGTGGACTGCATTCTTCAAGTTGATGCATTGGTTCCGCCAGGGTGTGATTGAATGGTCTACGGAAGTGTCCAACATGGCGCTTATCCAATTGATGATGAGAGCGACGAAATTGAGCAGCGAAATGAAAGCAAGTTCAGGAAGAGGAGGACAATTGAATTGGCACAACGTATCATATATTGGCTGCAGTTACATGACCATTGACAACAACGCGGCCAATGCCATTGTGAACCTTGATGCAGAAGAATTGAGCAGCTCGCTTATGTGGGAATTGCCGATCACATGCCAGTCATTCTTCCAATTGTTCCATATGGATTGCTGGATGAACATGATGCCAAGTGTGTCATTGAACCGGCATCTCCGGATTCCATTGGCCATCAGGAATGCCGTGATTGGAGAATCCTCTTTGCTGACAGCTTCTGCTCAGGAAGAAGCCATTGAGGACAGTGAGTCAGAGCGCGGTGAACATCCCGACGGAAGAAAGAGAATTATTGTCGAGGCAGGCACAACTGTTTCGATTGGCCCGTCACAGCGCCGATTGAAGTCACACAGAGACTCGCGCAATTGAGTGCGTGATTGCGAACAGTGGATTTTTCTGCATTGCCTAGTGGCAAGTCTGATTGTGCATACCGAAGCAGATTTCTGCGGGATGACCGCACATTGATGGACGAGCTCTGAGCGATCGCTTCCACAATTGTTTTGCAAATTCTGACATATGTGGACATTGCACACGTGCATTGTCCAAGGAACCGTGTTAGATTGTAGCATCAGTTCACTGCCATCATTGTACACATGTGCACCTTGCACTTGGCTCAAGATTGATCTGATTGCTCGTGAAAAGATCGTCGACTGAGTGATTGCATTCTGAAGCTGATTGCATCCGCGTCTGTGCATTTGATTGTTGGTTGCATTCGGCACTCCAGTGAAGCTCACAGATTGCTCGTTGAATTATTCATTCAAGCCACTTGGGAGCTTAGAGGGGCTTAAAGGGAGACTTAAGGGGAGTTTAAGGGGAGTAAACTTAAAGGGGGGCTTAAAGGGGGGCTTAAAGGGGCTTAAAGGGGGGCTTAAGTGTGTCTCTGAATTTTCATGTTTCTGCTATTTTCTTCGCTTTTAAGCGAAATCAATTTCGTGTGGTCTTCTCCTTTAAAGGGAGCTTTAAGGGGGCTTAAAGGGGGGCTTAAAGGGCTTAAGCTCCGCTTTGTCAAAGGAGGCGGGGCCCATCCTCAGTTCCTGCCACGACAAATACAGCGAGGTTGGCAATTCGCCACTGCTGGCAACAAAAAGGCGAAGTGTGTGCGTTTTTTGAGGATTGCTCAGCCATTCAAAGACGAGCCATGCATCCCATCTCAGCAAGGTGACACTGTGCCAGCAGCGGCCTCCCAAGTCAACGAACAGAGCCAAGGCCAACGCTTGGGGCACAAGTCAGGTGCCATCAGCCAACTATCAGCGCACCAAGTCCAAGGTCAAGGTTGACGACCACCAGCACCCGTGAGAGGTGTGAACATGGGCCAGATCACCTTCACCAGTCTTGGACTACAGCCTTGGACTTTGGTGTGCCTTGTGTTGCTGCCTCCTCTGCGAGTCTTCGTTTCACCACTGTTTTGTGTTTGTTGGTTTTGGATTGAGCGCAGCTGCAGTCACTGAGACTCGCTGACTTTCAAAAAATTGTGCCTTTGGACCACTGTTGCTTTTCGGCTTGTCCAATCCTTGCCTTGCTGTGGGTGCAGCCATGACGGGGCCGTTCCAAGTAATAGCCCTGTTGATCTTCCCAACCTCTTGTGACTCTTGTGACCAAGGTTGTGTCACTGGAATGTCTGTCGGCTGCCAAAGTGTGCTTCACGCCGGTCGTCCACTGGGTCTCCATTTTCTTGACCTGCTGTGCGGGGAGGCCGCCCGCCTGCATCAGATGCTGTTTGCCTGCCTAGTTGTGGGCCGCCACCTGCTGACCGTCTGACGAGACGAAAACGGTAGCCGGAGCCTCGGCTTGGGCTTCACCCGTTGTTTTGGGCGGCTTTGGGCGACGGACCATTGTTGCTTAAGGCTTAAGCTCGAGGTCGCCGAGAGACTTTTTTCGCGCTGAACGGCTTATGCTGACCAAATCCGCACGCCGCAGTTGGCTTCGTAACTCTCTATAGCTTTGACGGTAGCGCGGCGCTCCCTGTTTCACCGCTGTCTTTGTGTGTTTGTTTGCGTTGTGTGTTTATCGGGACCGAGTCTGCTGCCGCAGCCGACGAAGCCCGCAGACGCCAAAAAAGAAGTTTGCACCCTCGCAAAACTCGGTTTCCAAGTTTTCACATTGTGTGCAGATGTGTGTATTTCCTTTGTTTCCAATCTGTTCTGGCTTTTGTCTTTGTCAACTCTCTTGCTTTGGTTGTGTTCCTGTGTTCTACGAAAGGGTATTGGAGTCGTTGCAAAAATCAGTTTCGTTTTTTGCGTGTATTTTCGGAAGACGGAATAACCTTTTGAAGTTTAGGAGCGGCTTGCCTATTTCGACACGTCTGAGATGTGGATCAGCTTTCGGTGGCAACAACCAGCCAACTGAAGGGCCGGTTTTGGGGGGTTGAGAATTGCTCGAAGACATTGCTGCGGACAAGGGGCCTCCACAGTGCTGGAGTACCCCTGTTCAGACGTCGGTTAAATAAATGCACAGCCACACACTTGTTGTTGGCAATTGCTCATCAGCCTTGCTTGTTTTCCGCCGTTTTGTTTGGAGTTTAAAGATGGAGAAGTCCACTGGGGAGGGGCCAAATTGTGTGGAAAGCGGGGCCAAAAGCGGGTCCGGATGTCGGGCCCTTTTTTTGGGGCCTTTCAGTATTGACTTTCCAGAGGCTCCAAAACCGGTTCCATTTTCGGGCCCGAATTTTGGGAGGCGGGGTACCCCCGTCCGCGACCTTCATTTCGGAGCTCGCTTTTGGAATCCCAAAGTCTGGGTGCGAATCAGAAATCAGTGCCGGTTGCAGTCAAATAATTGATATGTGGCATCCAGCTCTATTTGTTCAACTGCAGCCAAAATCGACGTGTCGCCTGAAATCCCCCCAGATCTCAGCTCAAGCCGCGCCCTGCTTTATACTTCGACTCCATATGTCCTCAGGATTGCGGCGCCGTGCGCATTTTAGTATCAGGGTGCAAGTCGGAAAAATGGGTGCATCCTGAGACAAAGTGAAGCTTGAAACATGGCAGGAAAGAAAGAACACAGCACCGTGGAACCATGCCGCCGCCGGCCTGAGCCATCGACTTCAGAACCGATCGCCCCTTCGCCAGCCCGGGCCCTGGTTTCGGGTCTTCGGATCAGGGTTTCCTCCTAGTGTTTTTCAGAGTCCAGAAGCTGGAAGGTTTGCGTGCCTAGTGCACGTTCATGTTGAGGGGCAAAGCATGTCGGATGCGCCAGAAGGAAAGACGGAGCTGATGTCAAAAGATCCACAGTGCCGAATTCCATGAGCCCGATTTCTTGCGGCTCGACCTGGAGGTGCAAGGTCTTCCGCAAGCCGACTGCAAGATGTCGGAGGCAGATCCAGGGTCAGAGTCCTTTTTTTCCGAACTTCGGAAGCGGGCGTGTCCTGATGTGCATGGATTTCATATATAGTTTTCCAAGACAAGAACAGAGTCATCATTGTGAGTATTGTTCAGGCCATGCATGATGTCGCAACCTGTAGAAGCAAGGTAGAGAGACTCTTGCGACTCTTGCACAAGACTCGAGGAAAATCTGTCCGATCTAAGGCCCTGGTAAGCCTTTAGCAAGCCTATCGATCTATGGCCCAACAGAGCAATCATGGCTCGAGGCTTTGTGAAGACAGGTTAGCAAATCTCAGAACCCGCCTAAACCCTGAAGCCCTAAAGACTGAAAGCTTTAAAACCCTAAAATCCCAAAAAGCCTTCCACCTAGCTCCAGGCCACAAGCCCTATGTCAGTGGACTGGGCCCTGGGAACTCGTCCTTGTTTTCCCTTCACATCTTCAACTCGATTTCTAAATGCTACAAACCCTGTTTCTTAAATCCAAGCCGTCGTTCCCAAGTCGAGATTCCTAAACCTACAGCTATCCTTGTTCACAGCACAGCACCACTGAGTCTCGCAAGATATCAGTAGCTCATGGTCAAGATATTCCAGCGCGGTCAGGAAGGGATCCCGGCGAAGTTGAAGGAGCTTTCGTGCGAGTATCCATGTCCCTGACTTCGCAACACGTCGAGCCCTGATGTGGCTTGAGTATGCAACAACAAGCTCAAGGTAGGTCCCGGGTATCCTCAACCGACACCTGCACAGGCCTGCTGAGTCTGCTTTCGGTTGATCTAATCCAGCAGCTTGTGCGCAGTCAGCACTCCTGAAATCCTAAACTCTAAACCCTCCGAAGAGCAAGCCGTCATTACAGTGGCATGAGGGTAGAGATCAGTGGTTTAAGGTTTTGGGCTTGGTAGTTTATTCCGTTCGGTGCTTCCCCCGCTGCCAAAATGGTTCCAGGCACAAAGGTGGGAGTTGCAGGCTTCGCAGCACCGTAAACCCTTGTCAGGAGCTTGTAGAGCAACTTCTTCAAGGCAGCCCCATCACGGAGATTGACCTCTCTGAAACACGCATCGGCGCCGAGGGCGGCAAGGCCCGGTGGCTCACAGGTCGGTGCATTTGCAGCCTCGGCCCTTGCCCGCTTCGAGGCTTTGGCAGATGCGATCAAAAGCAATAGCACCGTCACAAAAATTACCCTCGCGGGCAACCGCATCGGAGCCGAGGGCTGTAAGGCCCGGTAGCTTAGAGGTCGGTGCATTTGCATCCTCGGCCTTTGTCCGCTGCGAGGCTTTGGCAGAGACACTCAAAAGCAATACCACGATCACGAACATTGACCTCTATGACAACGACATCGGCGACGAGGGCTGCAAGGCCCGGTGGCTCAGAGGTCGGTGCATTTGGAGCCTCGGCCTTTGTGCGCTGCGAGGCTTTGGCAGACGCGCTCAAAAGCAATACCACGATCACGCAGATTAAACTCAGGGCCAACATCATCGGCGAGGAGGGCTCTAAGGCCGCCCGGTGGCTCGGAGGTCGGTGCATTTGGATCCTCGGCGTTTGTCCGTTGCGAGGCTTTGGCAGACGCGCTCAAAAGCAATAGCACGATCACGAACATTGACCTCGCGCACAACGACATGGGCGACCCGGGCTGTAAGGCCCGGTGGCTCAGAGGTCGGTGCATTTGTAGCCTCGGCCTCTGTCTGCTGCAAGGCTTTGGCAGACGCACTCAAAAGCAATAGCACCATCACGAACATTACCCTCGCGGGCAACAGCATCGCCGACGAGGGCTGTAAGGCCCGGTGGCTCAGAGGTCGGTGCATTTGTAGTCTCGGCCTGTGTCTGCTGCGAGGCTTTGGGAGACGGGCTTAAAAGCAATAGCACGATCACGGACATTGACCTCGAAAGCAACGGCATCGCCGACGAGGGCTGTAAGGCCCGGTGGCTCAGAGGTCGGTGCATTTGGAGCCTCGGCCTTTGTGCGCTGCGAGGCTTTGGGAGACGCACTCAAAAGCAATGGCACGATCAAGAACATTGACCTCGAAATCAACGACATCGGCGACGAGGGCTGTAAGGCTCGGTGGCTCAGAGGTCGGTGCATTTGTGGCCTCGGCCTTTGTCCGCTGCGAGGCTTTGACAGACGCACTCAAAGGCAAGAGCACGATCACGAACATTTACATCGATGGCAACGACAGCATCGGCGAAGAGACATCTAAGGCCCGGTGGCTCAGAGGTCGGTGCATTTGCATCCTCGGCCTTTGTCCGCTGCGAGGCTTTGGCAGACGCGCTCAAGACCATCTGTGCTTTGACTAACGACGAGTAAGGGACCATCCTTGGCTTCTGACCGGTTCGCTTCGCTACAGCGACCTTTGCTTGTACATATCTCGTTTGCGGGTGCTCACTGAGGCACACTATTATTATTATCATTATCATCATCATTATTATTATTATTATGATGATGATGATTATTATTATTGTTATTATTATTATTACTATTACTATTATTATTATTATTATTACTATTACTATTACTATTATTATTAGTATTATTATTATTATATATTTCCTGTGCAGGTTCTCCTGTTTCACCTTACCCGACCCAGACTTCGGTCCGCGAGCAGACGCGCTGAAAAGCAATAGCACGATCACGAAGATTAACCTCAGGGCTATTACCATAACTATTACCATAACTACTACTACTGCTATTACTATTACTATTACTATTACTATTACTATTACAATTACAATTACTATTACTATTACTATTACTATTACTATTACTATTACTATTACTATTACTATTACTATTACTATTACTATTACTATTACTATTACTATTACTATTAGCAACAGCATCGGCAAGGAGCAAGTGGAGGCCCGCGGGTGTCTTAGCGGCGCTGCGGCCGGAGTTTGGTCCCCTTTCCTGCGATGCCTTGGAAGAGGTTCTTGCGACACGACGCAAGGAATCCCGCGAGGCTCGCGAGTCTGTGTAGGCTACGCCTAATCCGGAGGACTCACAACCCAACAAGAGGCGACCTTCAGAGACACTTCTTTCTAGCCTAGTTTCTTTGCGCGAAGCAGCAGTGTGCCCTGGCTTCAGCACTTTCCTGCGTCTGCGTGTCTCAGTGCAAAGAGTGGCTGGCAAGTTTTGAAGGATGTCGCGCCTAGTCTCGTCATAGCACGCGGGGGTTTAGGGTGCACCTTAATTGCGATCGGTTATCTGACACCCCTTTTGCTTGGCCGTGCCAAAGACAGGGTTTTCCAGATAGTACCGGTGAGGACATGCGGAACTTAAAGCCTCTCAACCCAGGCCGAGGACCATGTCTCAATCGGCTAACGGCGATATCATTCTCGCGGTTCGCGTCCCAGAAGGATGTCTGTTGCTTGGTCTCTGTCGCTGTCAGTGGCGGGTGTGCATGCAGGGAGGGGTACGCCGCCCCTCCAAATCTCCGTCCCACAAACCGTCTCTTGGGTTTCCCTGGTTTCCCTTCGTGGGGTCAATACCAGCCCAAGGGCAAGCCACACAATCGTGACCGCCCTTTGGCGTAATGCCATTGCTGCTCCAAATTCCTTAAACTAAGAGAGTGCCTGCATGGTCGTCCGGATCTTTCCGTTGAGGTGAAAGCTACCAGTAATGACAACAATACTGGTAATTCTCGCTGTTAGGATATCTCCCAATTGTGAAGACGAAGCTGCAGCTAGTCATAACTGTCGAGTCATACTGTAGCAATACTCGAAGTTTTCGTAGTTAGTGGATCTAGCAACAGCGGACGTTGCAGGCCGGGCCAAGCCAAGCAATGTTTAAGCTTTTTTATACAGGTGTTCTTCCAGTGGCTGCAATCCCTAAATACCACGCTCTTGTGGAAGCCAAGCCTGTCCAAGCGAAAGCAAGCCGAGCCTAGTATGGCGTTACATTAGATTCGCATGAAGAGTAGTGAAAGCGTGTGAAGCCCTCGCTGCAGAATCAGCGGTGCCGAAGAGCTGCCATCATTACAGGAAGCTCTGCGCTGTGTATAATAAGCCAGGAACCTGCCTTGTCGTCATGCAGGTTCAAAGGATGCCACGGCAAAACATAAAACACGCATTTTAGAAAGCTCGCGTTTTTAACAGTGCTCTTAGGAACGTCTGATTTGAACACCTCGGGAGATGGAGCAGCCTACAGCATCAAGTCTTTTCGATCCGACCTACCCTCAGTTTAAATGGGCTCAAGCTTGGTCCAGTAGGTTACTTGCAGTCTTCAGTGAAGCCAAGTTCTTCCCAAAGACACCATGTGATAGCTCGGCGCGTCCCACAGCCGTCGAAGAGGTATATGAAGACACGATGTGAATGCACGAGAAATCCAAAGTCATCGACGGTTGCTCTCCGTCGCGTGCTTGCTGCCGGAGCCAAAATCCTGCGACGCCATGGGCGCAGGACCCATCCGCGGAAAAGAAGAGCCAGTGGAAGGCACATGGTTCGGCAAGGCGTGCTGTTCAGCACCAGGCGAAGTGCTTGTCGGAAGAGTTACGGAGCGGGCTGAGACGATCCGGACAAGCGAGGAGGAGGAGAAAGCAGCAGAGCTTGCAGCAGGTCTCCAAAGCCGCAAAGAACTGGAGGAGCTGGACTTCGAAATTAAACTTATAGAGAAATCCTGAACTCTTCAACCCTTGAACCTTAAACCATTGCAGGAGCTCGAAGCACTAGGGATGGAGGCAGGCATCAATGTTCGTGCAGATGAGGAAATCGACGATCAGGACTGAGGATCTGAGGTTCGAGGTGTGGCGATTGAGATTGCAGGTTGGTTTCTTTGAGGGTCCACGGGCTCTAGGGGTTGAGGGGTCTAGGGGTTAAGAGGGGTTTAGAAGTTTAGGGGGGCTTAGGGTTCAGGGGTTTAGAAGTTTAGAGTGGCTTAGGGGTTTAGAAGTTTAGAGGGGTTGAGGGGAAGGACTTCGAGCGGAAGCCCTCGATCGCGGCGATGGTTCCAGCCATCGATTGCCTCCCTTCAAGGGCGGAGTCCTCGCGAGTGTCAGCCCGCTCATCAACCTTTGACATCATTAAGTCCACTGTGACTGGGAGGAAGAGCTCGGCATTTATGTTCTCGGCCGAGAGCATGTCTAAGGAGGAAAGGCTTGATTCAAGCAGGTATTCCGTGGTGGATGCCGAGATTATTCGCGGTATCCCTCTGCGTCGATCTCTTAGAGGAATTGGCCGGATCTGGCGCTACCAGCCTGCCACGTGGAAACCAGAGGAACGTGCTGAACTTTACGATCTCTCGCAGAAGGTGCTTTACTTCAATGTTTTTCTGTCGCATACCTGGCACACGCCTGGTTGGCAGAAGATTCTGGCTCTCTCCTTCCAATGTGGCTGGCGGAGTACGCTTGCACTTTGGTGTGTGGTGGAGACTGCCTCCATGGCCGTGTGCATGGCGGATGTGCTGCCGATGCCCTTCGTGTTCCGGGACACTGTAACAGGCTCGACGGTCGAGTCCTGTCCTTGTAGTGGAAAGGCCAACCCCTACTCTAGATACACTCACTGTCTGCGGCATGAAGGCTCGGACAGAACATTATGCCATAAACGTTGAGGCCGAAACTCCACTCCTCAGTTTGGAGGAAACTTCGAGGTACTTGCACAACGATAATACTTTTCCATCTCGGGCTCTCAGCCGTTGGGGCAATGACCCGAAACTCTTTCCTCCACTTTGCTTGCCGTCCGCTTCAGACCTGCGGAGCCTAGATAGTGCCAGCAATCATTGACACACCCCAAGCCCCAAGCCCTAAACCCTGCCAGCCGAGGAGTGCCCCATGGGCCTCTGGGTGTTCTTTTTTGGAGCTCTAGCGCTTCTCCTGGGCCTGCTCTTTACGCCCTACCTGCCCTCCGTTTGCAACTCGTCGGACATGGGATTCATCGATGTGGCCAGCATCCACCAGCAGGACTGGAACCATGGATTCGGAGCCCGTTGCAGTCCGCTTTGTTCCGTAGTCTAGACTCCAAAGCCCTGCATCTTGAGCCCTGAACCTAAACCCTACCCTAAACCCTAAACCCTAAGCCCCTAAACCCTAAACCCCTAAACCCTATTGAGAGGCAGCGCTCCGGATTCAGTTTCAGGGTTTAGGCTTGCATAGAAGCATCCGCTGTTTTTTGAAACTCCACCGCGGCTAGCGAGTGAAGAGATGACGTTGGAACTCTAGTTGTTTGGAAACGGAACTTGTGGCTGAAAGTGGATAGCTTCCGCTAAGTTCACGCCGCCCTGTGTGAGGCTACTGTCGGACTCTTGACATGTAAGATGGACCTCATCATCTTACCCTTGAACCAGAAGCCAAGACCCGCAAACCCGAAACCCTAAACCCTAAGCCCCTAAACCCTACAGCCTGAAGCCAACACCCGAAAACCCGAACTTTTAAGCTTTGAGGACCGGGCCCTCATGGAGCGGGGTGTGTATGGCATTGCCGGTTTTTTGCGTGTTTCCTCGGAGCTCCGCATTCTCTGGAGCGCACCCTACCTGCCACAGTCTCAGCACGGGTGTGCAGGGTTTGGGGTTTGTAGGCTGACGTCGAGCTGGTGTATGACATGCTTGCACTGTGGGAGCATAAAGTCTTCTAGCATCCCGCAAGGGGGTGTTTCTGGTGTTTTGAGCTTGCGTCATTGCACGAGTGACCTAAACCTGCAACCGCCTAACCGAATCTGAAACCCCTTAACCCTGCGAAGTTTGTGTTCTCGGCAGGTCTCGTCTGTGGTGCATATTTGAGCTTGCAGCATACCGAAAGGCGGGGATGGCTGGCTTGCGATGCTTGTGGTGCGGTTTGTTTTCTGCAAGGGTTGGGCAATGAGAAAACCCATGGTGTTGGCTCCAGAGGTCAACCCCGATGGCATCATTCGCTTTCGGCCGCTCTTTGTCGAAGCTTGGCTCTTGCGGGGCCTGCTTGAGGAAGCCCGTTTAAGGTCTGTAATTTGGGTGGGAGGGCGGGCAGAGCAGCTTCTTTTGCCGACCCACAACCACTTCATGGAGGGGGTCGAAGCGCGCTCGCAAAGGAACTCCCAAGACCTGAACACCAAACCCTAAACCTAAACCCACGGAACTTACCAAATCCGAAGCGAGCACCCTAATCCTAAATCCGACACCCCCCAAAGCCCACGAAATCCGAGCAACAGCACTTCAAAATCATATTAAGTCCAAACGAAACAACCCCAAGCCCCCCATAGCCTGAGACCCTAAACCCCAAGCGATGAACCCTAAACCCTAAACCTTGAAACCCTTAAAGTAAAAGCCAGAAAGTTGGAATATGATTATCCTAAACCCTTTATGGTAAATTATAGGGTATCCTACCCTGAAACCATATTCCAACTTTCTGGAGTTCCCTTTTGAGCCCAGGAAAGGACCGCCCTGGTGCTCCTGGTCTCCTGCCTGAGCTTCGGCGCCTACGTGCCGGGGATGTCTCTTGGCACAGGGAGTTTTTTTCGGGGTTTTCAGGATTTTAAGGATTTTGCAGGTTTCAGGGTTTTTTGAGGTGTCTTCGGGTTTTTCCGGGTTTTGAGGATGTTAGGGGTTTGAGGTTTTTTTGAGTGGTTTTAGGGTTTTAAGTCTAGGGTTTTGGGTTTGCAGGGTGTTGATGAGATCGCAGGCCACAGGCGAGAACACTGTCCGTGTCCAAGCACAGCCTTCACCCGTAAACCCTTAAGCCGAACACCTACACCCTACTAAAGCCCTAACTTCCTAACCCAAACTCGAAAGCTCTACAAGCCCCAAAGGTCGGGCAGCGAAGTCTCGCTGTATCTTGCCTATGCCTCCCTCGCTCTCTTCAACCTGATTACAGCCGCCCTCCTGCGAAGCAACTACCGAGAGAAGCACCAGCTGACCCTTGGCGCGGATCTTGGGGAGGTCGGCCTTGCGGTCTGTAGGGGTTTCGGGGGTTGAGGGGTGTGGGTTTTGGCTGCCAGAAACCGGGGTTTTGGGTGTTCAGAGTTTCAGGTTAAGGCTTAAGGTCTTTTTATGGGGTTTGGGGAGTTCATGGTTGAGAGCTTTAGGGTTTTTGGGATTTATCCTTTGTACGGTTTCGGGGGTTGGCTTGATGCTTTAGAGTCTTTAGAGTTTTCGGGTTAGGCGTGTTCAGGCTGTAGGCTTCGGGCCCGCCTCCGAAGGCAATGCTAGAAGCGGGCACGGGCACGCGCTTCCCTAAACCCTAAATTTAAATCGTGAAGATGTTGTGTTTCCCGGTGCCCAGGAGACGGGAGCTGCAGGAATTCGATCTGAAGCAGGTCTCCTGCAGGGAGGAGTTTGATCGAGACTTGGCGATGGCCCCAGACCCTAAGCCCCAGAAAGGCCGTCAGCCCATAAGGTAGGGTCATTGGATTCGTGATTGGAAGGAGGGGTTGACGTAGCGCTTTTGTTGGGCCGAAGAGCATGGCGCACCTGGGTTACTTGGAGGGTCGGGGGTATAAGTACCTTAAAAGGGACGCTAATTGGGGTTATGGCACTTATAAGTCCCAAAAATAACCAGTTACTAAGTCCCCCGACCCTCCAAGTAGCAACCTTATAGGCAACCCTTAAAGTGGCACCCTTATAGTAACCCTTATAGTAACCCTTCTAGTACCCTTAAAGGGAACCCTAAACTAAGTCCCCAAGTAGCAGCCCTAAACCCTATACCCTTATAAAATCCCTTTTGATCCCTTTAAAGGGGCCCTTAAGGAACCCCTTATAGTTACTAAGACCCTCCAAGTAAGGTGTTTTCAATATTTGGCCTCTTGCACCAAGGGAAGTTTATTCATGCCGCCATCTCGAAGTGGTACGGGAGCCAGGAGCGAAGCTCTTCGAAGTCCTGGGGGGTTTAGGCTTTAGGGTTTAAAGGTTTAGGGTTTAGGGCTTAGGGTTTAAAGTTTAGGGTTTAGGGTTTAGGGTTTAGGGTTTAGGGTTTAGGGTTTAGGGTTTAGGGTTTATAGGGTTTAGGGTTTAGGGGGGTTGGGGCTATTTTGAGCCGTAACCGGAGGCTCAGGTTTCTGGGTTCCCGGTCAGGACGCCTTCACCGAGTTCGTGCGTCAGGACCTGCGGCAGCACCTGGAGCCTTGTCTGGCCACCCGTTTCTGGGTTCCTGTTACAGGAGCTACTTTAAGTTACCAGAATTAGGAAACCACATTACTTATTATAGATCCCTATGTTGGTAACTCAAACTAAACCCCTTTGCAAGAACCTAGGTTTTCCCATGAGATACCTTCTCCTCCTCTGTGCGGCTCAAATGTCCGTCAGCCTGGAGTTTGTCCTGGCTCTCTGGAAGGGCGGGGCAGAGCCCAACAGCATCCTGTCCTATGTCATCGCCATGCTTCTGGGGGTGGATGTCTTTGTTCTTGCGGGCGTCGTTATTTCGATCAACTATCTTTCTGATCGGTTTGCTGCTCGACGCTTTGGCTGCTTCGATCATGTGCAGACGGTTCTGATCCTCGGCTCTTCAGAAGGATCCCTTGTTGCTTGTTGGGGTTGAAACTTACATAGTGAACATCCTGAAGCTGAACCCCGCGTCGGTGAGGATCACGATGCTAAGTGGCGTCATCTTCTATGCAGGAAGCTCCCTCGCAGAGGAGGCCTACGGCAACAGCATGGAGCATTGCATCCTCTTCGCGGCTTTGCCCGCAAGCTAGAGCTAGAGAACTTCCTTCAACCAAAAGTTACCATAAGCCTCAAGCCAAACAAAGCCCAGGATTTTGTCGGGGCCTGTGGGGTTGGTGGTTTGGGTTTGAGTCCCAAATCCTTTTCCGTCGAGGTGCTCCATTTGTCAGGCTCCAGATTGCGTGTGTTTTCTGACAGGGCCGGGTCGTTGGGGGACGAGATGAGGGTCGTGAAGCGGTCCTACTTGCATGGTAAGGGTTCTGTCAGGTTAATCCTGAATCCTAGACCCTAGACCCTACAGAGTCTGGGTTTGTGAAGTAAGGCGGCTGTTTCCGGTGTGGTGGCTTTCTGCCTTTACTGGCTGGACAAGAAGGCACCGATGCCGGACGTGAGCGCACCGACACAATAAGTCTCTCTCCTGTCCATTGGGCGTTTTTCCTGACAAGAGCTGTAGCGAGCCGTCCAACGCCTAAACGCGTGGGTTCTTAGAATCAGATCAGGTATGAAGGTCCTACCCCGCAAACCATTCGATCGCATTTTCCGGGGACCTCATCTGGAGGTTTCTGGCTGATGGCTTGTGCGACCAGGACCTTGCAAAACCTGGCGTCACATCGTTCTCGACGGTACCGACGGTTTACAGCTGCAAAGCAGCTGTCGCTTCGAGTACGTGCAGCAGGGTGTACTATTGTCCAGAGGCGGCCGTACAAATAGAGACACCACTACTTTTTGAGGATGTGTAGGGTCGCAAACTCAAGCTCTTAGCTCCCGGGCTACTGGTCTGTCGGCTTTTTGTGTTCAGGATTTAGGATTTGGGTTTAGGGCTTGGGGCTTAGAGCCTCAAACTTAAAGCTTGAACTCTCCATCCAAGCCATCAGCCTTAAACTTAGGCGTACTTAGAAATAGGTTTTGATTTTTTGTTATAATAATCACTAAGAAACAGCTAAAATTCTAATTTTAGCTAGGGTTCTAAGTTCAGTATAGAAAAAAAGTCATAATAGGATCCCTAATATGATTTAGGAATATTCCTTAATTAAAGGAATATTGGAGTCTCTGAGAGCCATCAGCCTTAAAAAGAAGCACTGGGCCTCGGACCTGCGAAGCGTCGTCGTAGCTCAACAAGAGCCCAGAACAACCCGACATGGGAGTTTCCGAAAATGCGGGACCCTAATATCGTACCCTAAATAGTAGGATCCTCATTATAGGAACCCCAGAATAAGGTACCCCTGATTGTCGGAAACTCCCACATGTGCTTGAAGCCAAAATCCACTCCCAAAGCCCTACACCCTAAAAGGGTCTTTTAGTCTATGGCTTTAGGGTTGTGTAACTTCAGCCCTAAGGCTTTGTCGCTGGGTGGTCTTATTTGTCGCGAGGTTCGGTTGTCATCAATTAGTTTCTGCGGACTCTGCTGGTAGGATTCCGCTTATGGCTGCACCAGTAGTCGAAGGACCTCTCACGAGTAAACAGGTCGCCAGATGCACCAGGAACGCACTGTGCGAGGTCGGTTCCCAGGGAGCCTGATACTCCTCAAGTAAAGACAGTAGTTAGTCATTGTACAAGGAAGTATTGGTTCTCTGGGTCTGTCGTACTAGACCCAACCGCTTTGCGTCCAAAGAGGAGCCAGGGTTGTTGTTAGGGAATTTAACTTGAGCTACGACGATAGGGCCATGCAGCAAAAACTAAATTCGTTCTTGTGTTTAGGCCCGTTTAGGGCTTGAAGACCATGACACATGCATCGATACTACCAGTTTTTGAGCTCGCACTGTCATCCGCTTTTGTGTTTGAAGTAAACATACCGTGGTTGTGCATCCTGCACTGCGGGGTTGATGTTCCAGAATGGCCACTCTTCTGCAGAGGGTGGATGTGTGTGCAAGATTTTCCGCACAGTCACTCCATAGACGTAAGGACTTGGGCGGGTCTTTGTTGCTGTTGTCGGGTTTTTGGAACTGGCATATCATATTAAATCATGTCGCATAATGATATTCTTTTCAAGTCGCATTTTCTGTGCAGGCCAGCATCTTTGACCATGTCAGCTTTTCAAGCCGTGTGCCGTGAAAGGCTCAAGGTTCTAGGCTGCGATAGATAGATTTGCAATGATTGCACAATGCCGTATTTAGCACAGCAACATCCTGGCACCTGCACAGCTCGGCTGGAACCCCTGAATTGGAGGCCCAACCCAAAGACCGTCCGTCATATTACCGTGCGTACAACGACAGTCCTATCAGGGCTCTTAGCTTCAGGTCTTGCGCGAAGGATCTCAGGGGTTGCTATGTGGTCCTTACAGCATAGTTGCTGCAGACAACAGGATAGATGCTCTGTTCGGCATGCTGTGTCTTCTGCACGTATCTGAAGCTGCTATGCTGTATTCCAATCGAGCGAAGGAAGGCTTCCATGTGATGTGTGCATTGATCAAGAGCAACGAGTGTTGATGTTACCCTTAGCATCGCAGCCGTTTGTGCGCTTGCATCCAAATGCCAGGCAGAGCCTTTCGTTGGCACTTTGCTTTTTTGGAAGGCATGTTGATGACGTCGTGTGAAGGCAGCCTTGAAGGTTGTCTGCCCCCCCCCCCCCCCACAGTGCACACGTTTGTTCCGCATGCATGTGCTCGCCGGTCCCCCCACATACATGGCTCTGTGCACACGCCGTCCTGCACGCATGCACACGCCGTCATGCGCACCCCCCCCCCCTCCGCACACCAAGGCTGAGATCTGAGGTAGTCTTGCGCACCCCCGGGGCTGCGGCGTGGGCTATAAGACCTGCGAACCGGGGGGGCGCTCTAAGGTACCAATGCTCCGCACAATCAGCGCTGTGATCAATTTCAGTAGTTTTGTCCTAACTGGATCACTGCAACTCGGAAGGTCGCTGCGGCTTGCTATGCAACAATCTCATGTCTCGTTCATGTGGGCATGTTCCTGCACCTGGCATACAGGCTCCTGATTCAGGAATTTCGCACGATCGGATACGCAATGATGCTTTAAGGAAGCTGGCATGATGACCAGCCATGTCGCCTTGATCGCAAGTTGATTGCCTTAATTGTAATGACTGTGCGCAGCTATCCTTCTGCTGCATGTGAGATCTCAGTCCGTGCGGCACGGGATGGGAAGGCTCAGGTTGATCCATTCCCATCCGTGGTGGTGATTGTGGGTTAGTGCATTACATGTGCTGTGGGTTGATCTGCTGGTGCTCCGGACTACACCCGGTTGTGTTTTGCGTGTGCCGTGGATTGTACAGCTCTTGCATCCGTGAGCTATCGAACCAGAAGGGCCCGAGGTGGGACACTTAAGGTGAACAGCTTGTGCGCTTCGGACTTACATACCTCTCTGCAGGCTCTCACTGTTTTCCGGTTGTTGTTGACGTTGTACAGGGCGTGGGTGGGCGCTGCGCGGGCATTTCCAGTGATGACATGATACTTCGCGTTGACGCTAAACTGTCAACATGCAGTCCCTCTGGTATCTCTGTGGAGTGCTTGCTGCTGCGCTTACTTACTGCCCCGTTGTTGAGTTGCTGGATGTACCGTGCTTCTGCGTGGAACCAAGGAGTTTGGATCCACTAAGGAATGTCTTTACCACCCGCAGCCCATGAGAACATCAATCCTCGCCCGAAGCTATCTGTCATTAGCCACATCGTCATGAACGAGGCCATGGAGTGGCAGGGTGAACTGGCAAACATGGCGATGCAGATGTGGCGACAACAGTGCCTCCACAACTTTGGAGATGGGTCAATGTTTGGATTTGGCAACATGGCATGCTCACCTTGGGGGTTGGCTCCAAGTGTGCTTGGTGTTGACATGGGCAGAGCCAACTGGACACCTCCACCAGTTGCTCATCCGGCTCCACCCACTGACTATGTGCCGACAAATCCGTCTATGGCCACAAGCTCTATCCCGGAACATCGTCGCACGCATGAGCCGATGGAGCCCTCAGGAGTGGCGAATGAGATCTCACCATCGAAAACAAGGTGTAAATTCGGGAAGCGATGCACTCGTCATGACTGTTGGTATCAGCATCCCGAAGGTCGGAACATTGACATGCCTGACGACAGTGCTCGGCGATCGTCACGCTCACCAGCTCCCAAGCGCCGACGAAGGTTTCATCGTGATTCATCCTCCAGTTTAGCACCGCCTTGTGTGCGAGGAGCCGCAGCTAAGCCCCACAATCACAGCGATAACGACAGCGGAGATGATGATCGAAAGGATTCGGACCACAGCCTCTCAAGAACCACATCTCGCAGTCAGCCACGCAGCAGTAAACCTCACCTCCTCCTCCGTGATGCGGATGTACCATGGCCCCGGGTGATCTCAGCATCGGGAAAGTTGAAGAACTTCAAGCCTGAATCGCAAGGATGGGCTCTTCACTTTCTGAACCCAGACCACCCAAGGATGTCCATCTCACTTCAGGATTTGTCTGCAGTGATTGGGCACCTTCAATCAGAAGGCTTAATCATGTGTGACCGGCCAACATTGGTATCTCCAGGTGTTCTCCAAGTCAAATTTGGGCGTGGCGGTGGTAACCTACAGGTGTATCCGGGTGCTACGGGGAGAAGTGCAGGAAATGCTCGCATTAACAGTTCACGTGAAGATCAAGTCCGTTCCATACGAGCGTCATTGCTACGCTCTCAATGGTTTCATGACGCAGGAGTTGGTCGTGCTTCCCCATTAGATGCCACAATCCACGCGGCCTTGACGTCCAACGGCAAGCTTCTGCTACCATCGATCTCCACGGAAACTCGTCATGCAGACATCAAGGGGCTGTTCCAAGAAGTTGCCAAAAAATTGGGCCCCCAGGGCAAGATGGCACTTATGGATTATGTCAAAGAGTCGGGTCTACATGAAGGTCATGAAATCTGGCCCTTCATTGATGCAGCCTTTGTTACTCCAAAAGCCAAGAGGAAGACGAAATGACTACCTTCCGACAGCACCTCAAGCGGTGCAAATCTTGGCTTTCTCAATTGCGCGTGCTTGACTCATCGGGATGGGACAATGAGTGAAGCCAAATTGAGTGATGTGCTATCTTGCATGACGGATCATGGTTGTGATGCTTTCTTTCTTGCTGAGACTGGTGTCATGGATGGTACCCACGTTACACCACAATCTGGCTTTGACTTCGATTTCTGCAATGCTGAACGTGCGTTGCCAGGTTATGGGGTTGGGGCTATTTTTCGTGGGAGGCACCGTGGCAGATGGGCCAGGATCAGCACGAATCTTGATTACCGTAATTTTGGGGTGTGGATGCTTTCCATAAGCGAGCGTCCACTGCTGATTGGTGTGCTATATGCCCCACACCCGGGACATGGTCATGAAGCACGCTCTTCAGTCTTTTCACGAGTGCATGAAAGTTGGGTGCGCCTGATGGCGCAACATCAGCAAGCCGTTCCAGTCCTGCTTGGGGACATGAATTTGCCTACTTTTCTGAGCCCTAATCCTTCTCCGGGTTTGGCAGCCAGCGAGTCAGCACTGAACTGTTTTTTTCATTCTTCTTTCGTTCTGCAGCTGGGAGGTGTTGTCTTGAACCCACTTGCCCAACCTACCCACATCCGCGGGAACATCCTCGACTTGGCTGTGGTGTTTGATTGCCATCGAGCTTTCTCTTGCACAGTCATCCCACAACGGTTCGCAAACAGTGACCACTTTCCGATCTTTGTAAGCTCCTCATTGCGAATAAGGCCCGAATCCACAACATTGAAGTGGTGCACCTTCCGGGATTTCCCGGTACAGGCTTTTGTCGCTGAAATCTCCCCGAGCCTTGCTGTTTTGCATTCTTGGATGGCCCATCAACTTCAACCAGTGCCGCAAGAGGAATGTATCCTGAAAGACATCCTCATTCAGGGGTCAGTGACCTTTGGACTTCTACTTTTGGCCGTCCTCTACCAGACCAATTCCCCCTATGGCCGCTTCGCCTGCAACAGCCGGCGGGGCCGTCGGCGTGGTTTTATGTCTTCGGCATTGCGGAAGGCGATTACATCCATGCGCAATGCCCGTGGGTCTGCTAGATTCTCGATATTGCGGCGGAAAGTTGATTCTTTGATGAGGCGATGCCGGCGCCGGCGAGTGTACTTGTCTGCGTTTCGCACCACCTCCCAGGGACTTGTTCGGCCCACAAATGATTTGCATCAGTGGCTCAAAGACGACCTCAAACCAGGCTCATCAGCTTCGCGGTTCATCTCGATTGGAAACAACGTCCTTGAAGATCAGGTTGCGACGGATTTGTGGGTGGAGTTCCTCCGTTCGCAAACTTCATGGGATGGCCAATTGTCACCTGATGTACTCCTGCAGCTGTATGATGGTCATCTGTCTGAAGCTCCTAAGCTACCTGCAATGCCAGCGCATATCCAGGAAGACCACAGTGACTGCAAGCAGTGGCTGCGCAGCCTGCGATGTCAACCGCTTTCCTATCGTGCAAAGGCTCTCGTGCAATGGACTGAATTCTGTGATGCTGTTGAGTTCATGAATGGAGCTGCTGCTCCGCCTCCTTCTGAGCCAATCCCAGTTAGCATCCTGTCTGTCCCCTGTGAGCCTCTACGGGCTTGTTGGATCGGTTTGCTCAACTTGGTCATCTTATGTGACCATCTCCCGAGGATTTGGGCTACTGTCGTAGTTGCACCACTGCTGAAACCTGGGAAAGCTCGGAATCGCCTTGAGTCTCACAGGCCGATTTCGTTGATGCCCCTTGGTCTCAAACTGTTGGATCGCGTGTTGTTTCGTCGGGTCTGGCCCGTGATTCAGAATCAGGCTTTACCTTGGCAACTGGGAGGCAGCAAAGGCCCTGACCTATGCATAGCATTCATGGGAGATCTCCTACGGCTGCGCTTCAAACAGAAAGCGCCTTGGACAGTAATCTTTTTGGATGGGCAATCTGCCTTCTGTCGTCCACCTTGGCTGGCAGTTGTGTCTGGCATGCGCCGCATACCGGGCATCAGCGACATGGATATCCTCATTATCTTCACTCTACTTTCTGGCATACGCTCCAAGGTCGCCGTGTTTGGTTCCATGCATGGGAATTATAAGAATGAAGTCGGGCTGCCACAGGGAGGCGCTTTATCCACAGCGTTATTCGTGTTGCTCACGTTTTCACTGTATGGCGCTCTTTGTGACGTGGATACTGCTTGCCTGGCTTCTGGCAACAGCTGCATGTTCTCCGCCCCTGCGTGTGGCTATGTTGATGACATTGCTTTGTTGACATCTGCCCCTGCAGCAGCACAGCCTGCCTTAAAGGTTGCTTTTGAGTGGGCGCAAGGCATCCGCATGGTCTTCAACGTAGGTGTGGACAAGTCCGCATGCCTTGTTTCGTACGATGGGTCAGCCCCCACTGCAGATATGAAGTTTCCTGATGGTCAAGCTCTCCCGGTAGTCGATGAATACAGATACTTGGGAGCGCTGCTCACCGCAACGGGGAGGGTGGGTCGCACTATACAGGATCTGGAAGAGAGGATCTTGCAGAAGACTGGTCCATTGATTGGGTGGGCCCGTGCCAACCAAATCCCGCTATCACATCTGGGTAAGCTGTGGAAGCTTTATGTCGAGCCGGGCATATGGTGGCTTGTTGCAGCTTTGCCGATCACTCATGCGCAAGCTGATCGCTTGGATCTTCTACAACGTAAAGTTGCACGCATGCTTCTGGGTCATGGCAAGCGCTCCCCGCTACCGTCTGCTTTGGCATGTCTCGGGTGGGTTCCATGGTCGCATCTTTTGGCGTGTGCTCGCATGAGCCTGCTCGCGCGTGCATGCACTGACTCCTGCAACCTCATGGCGCAACTTTTTCCCATCGCGGTGACTGTGCCTGGCACTTGGGCCGAACAGGTCAGCGCGGACGTTCTTCATGCATTTGGGATCGAGGCTCCCCATGCGTTCACTGCATCCAAAGCTGAACTCAAGGACTTTCACAGCAGTTCTGTGCAAATTGGCTGGCAGCAACTTGTTGAGCAATGTGTGGTCCATCCCAATCTGACACACTTTCCGATTGAGTGTTTCAGAGGCTGCGAAATCCCCAACCCGATTGCTGCTATCTTCGAAGCTCCCAGCATCGGCCTGGAGCAGTCAACCTTAGCTCTACGATTGTTCTGTGGTGGCCAGGGGCTTCGAGCAGGTGATGTTGAGTTTGTGAGTGCTGACAGTCGAAACTGCTGCTTATTCTGCCTGGGAAATGGTTCCCAAGTAGCTGAGACATTACATCATTTCCTTTTGCAGTGCCCGCTGACATCGTATGCGCACGCGAACCTGTCAACATCACTTGTGCAGCAAATCACTGCGCCTCACACTTGGATGAACCTGCGGGCTTCTGAGAAGAAATTGCTTGTACAGGTCGTTTGCAGAAAGTGGTTCATTCGCAAATCATGGCTGCATGATAACCTTTTGCACATGCGATCCACACGAGATGCGCTTTTGTCTCGGCTCTGGCCTTAATCCAGTCAAGTTTGCTTCGAGCTCAGTGCTTCTTTCAGTCGTTCTGCGTGCTGCCCCGCTGAAGTGCTTGTGAGCTTCAGTTGACAGCTGGCAGTGCGTGCATCGTCACTCTCCGAGTGCATCTTGCTTTAGGCCACAAGAATAAAAACACTCTCATCATTGTGCTAAGTCTGGTTTGTCATCCGCCCACAGCACAGTGTAGCATGGAATTGGATGGATGGCTGTCGAAGCAGAGATTCCGCGAGATAATGATCCAGTAGCTTGGACCCGGAACGTTCAGAGCTACCCGCTCACCCCAACGAAATCACTGAATCCCGACTCCCAGATGCCAAATCCTATGGTACAAGTAGGGAGGTTTTAGGCTCGGGGCATTCTGTAAGGTGAAGCGCCATTCCGAAGCCATGCAGTGTGTCCGGTTGCCGTCGGAAGCCGGCAGCGTACCTCCTTCCGCGGTGCGACCTGAATTCCCGCCAAGCCGCCGGTGCCCAACCGTCTCTAGCAAAGGTGGCAGCAGTGATGTCCTGTCTTTCCTGCCTTGGGCCCTGTTGGGCGGCTGCGGCTGCGCTCGTCTGCAACGATCCAGCCGTCGCGGCGGGATTTGCGGGGTTCTCAGAGCTCGGCAAGCTGAGATTTTCCAGGTGCCCACAGATGGAGATGAGGTATCGGCCCCTCCGGGGCTTTCTTCCAAGATTGCTGTGGCAGAACTGGAAGGGAAGGGCTGCGGAGTCGTGGCGACTAGCGCGATTTCGCGTGGCGAAGTAGTATTACAGGAGTCACCCCTCCTGGGTCTGCCAGCCTCTTTTGAGTCTGCGGCCGATGTGGAAACTCTTTTAAATGCGACCAGTCTACGACAGTTGGACGAGGATTTGAACAGTGCACTCACCTCTTGCAGTCAGGCTAATCAGGACCGGTTTTGGGAGCTGTCAGACTGTCATGGGGAGCACAAGACGGCAGCAGGCATCGCACTGACCAACGCTTTGCAGCTGGGCAAAGGTGGAGGCCTCCTGGCGATGTCTGCAAGATTCAACCACAGTTGCAAGCCAAACGTGCAGGGAGGCTGGGACAAGAGTCAAGGTGGTGGGATGGCCGTGTGGCATGCCCTTCGTGACATCTCTGCAGGTGAGGAGCTATGCTTTTCTTACGTCGATCCGTACGAGACAGATGCGGAGCGACAATCCACACTGCAAAGGCTCTTCAAGTTCCAGTGCAGGTGGGATCACTCTGGAGTCCCAGCAGTTTAGGGGTGGCATGCACAAGACAGGTACCGGTTTCCGTCTGTGATTGCTACATTCAACAAGGATACTTGCATACATAACTGTTTTAACACGTGCAGGACAGGGTGTGCTTAGGTTTGCCGGTATGTGTATGTGGGTGGGCAAGTATCTGCGCATGTCTGTTTGTGAGTATGGATGCATGCATGCATGTGTGTGTATGCAAGCATGGATGCATGAACTGATGTATGTATGCATGGATGAATGAATGGAAGGGCATGCATGGAACAACGAATGCACGCGCGCACGCACGCACGAACGTAAGCAGGGATGTATGTATGTATGTATGTATGTATGTATGTATGTCTGCATGTGTTTGTGGAGGTATCTGTCAATGTAGTATGTATGTATCAATGTATGGATATAAAGCATTTTTTGCAGCGTCCGAAAGATGGATATATGTCTGGTTGTGTTTATGTATTTATGCATGTACGCATGCCTTCATGTATGCAGTTATGCATTAATGTATGCATGAACGCCTGATTGCAGGGTGTTTACGCATGTATATTTTCCATCCTTGCATGCAATCTGTACGCATGTACGTGTGCATGTAGGGTTGTGGGGTTGTAGGGTTGTAGGGTTGTAGGTAGGCAGGTGGGAGGTAGGTAGGTAGGTATGTAGGTAGGCAGGCATGTCTGGTGAATGGTACGCAGAGGAGTAAATTGGTGCGCAAGTAATTCAGGAACCAAGTAGCTAAGTACACTTGGTGGGGCATTACTGCATGCAGGCACGGATGCTTGCAGATATGCTCATCTGTCCAGCCAGACACTTATCTCACTTATCTGATCTTGCTTGGACAACTTACAATCTTGATGTACACTAAGCGTACGTGACATGCATGCGTTCATACTAAGACACACGCACACCGACAGAGAGACAGACACAATACCACCAGTGCGCAAGCATGCGCGTACTCATGTGTTCACGCGAGGATACACGCCCACACGCTGACTCACCTTCAGAAGCGCGCAGACAGAGATAGATAGGGGGAAGGAGCGACAGCCAGAAAGACATCATGAGGCATGCAGGTGTATGATCAACGGACAGATAGATGCACAGTTGGAAGGAAAAGAGGCGACTAAATCGACGGATCTCGACATATCTGTGTCCAGTGTCTTATTGTTAGCGAGGTTTCTGTAACCGTAACCCTACATTGCAAAAAACCTGAATCCACATCGCAAAGTTGGCCCTGAGACAGGTGCCCAGTCTGCATGCTGCAGGGGGAGGCGAAGATGGCTAGCAACCAGAATCGTCAGCAGCTGCGTGATCTCAAGGAGGTGTCGCTTCGGGAAAGGCGGTTATCTAGAGTCTATATGTTCGTTTTCCGGCCTTTTTCTATATATCCACATACACATGTGTTCGCATACACGAAGCTGTGAGGCAGAAGATGCACGAACAAATCTAGGTAGGTTTTCGCTCCACGAAAGTCAATGTGCAGAAAGGGTCGTGTAGCAAACGGACGTTCAAGAGACATGTATGAGTTCAGGAATGTACTTCTGCTTGTGCTCACACAGAAGGCTTCAGGATGTTGCAGCACCTTGCATCGTGAAAGCTCCGAAGACCAAAGAACACAGAAAAGTCCCCAAGCCCCAAGAACTGAAGAACACTACAGTTGATGATTTAAATCCTGCATTACCTTAATGACCCTAGACTATGGGAATTATGGTATATTCCTTGTTCTGGGTAGTGCAGGATTTATATCATCAACAGTATTACGAATCGGCTGGGGGGGGCCCTGGAGCTAGGATGCAAGGCTCCAAGTTTCAAGTTTCGGGCGTCAGGCCTCACCATGCTGAAGCCCGAAACACCGATACATGAGGAGGCTCGGGGCCCATGAATCTGAGAGCGTGTGCTCAGCAAGCTCAGCTTTTGCACCTCAGGCAAGAGACCAGGAAAGCCTGGAACTTGAGGCTGCAAGCCTGTAGCCCGAATCCCTCCCAGTCGGCTCCTGAACCGCGCGAATCCCGGAACTACTCCTCAACCCTACTTGGAGGTTCATGGGTACTTAGGGTAACTGTACTTTCTGCCCATTTTTCGGGACTTTCACCCCACTTATAACTACCCTTGAACCTCCAAGTAGGCCCCCTTAAACGCACTGGAGACCTTGAAGTTCACCAAACGGCCCCAAACCCTAAACCCTTGCAACCCTACCCTAAACCGTAAACCCTAAACCCTAAACCCTAAGCCCTAAACCCTAAACCCTAAACCCTAAACCCTAAACCCTAAACCGAAACCCTAAACCTCTCTACCTAAGCCCGGTCAGGCCCTTGAGCTCTCCGCCGTCGTGGCCGACGACACGGCCGAGATGGCCCGCGAGCTCGTCCCTCAGATGGTGGCCTCTCGATTCGCAGAAAGTTTGCCAGGGCAGGCGAACAGGGAGATACAGATGCAGAGTCATACAGACATGCATCTGCATCTTTAGACTATAGAGTGAGTGTGCGTTTTTGTATTGATTGCGACACCGTCGCAAAACACGGAAAGTGCGCAGGCGTGCGTGCACACACACACACAGAGCTATGTACATGGGTCTCACCGCTGTATGTTTGTCACCGTATGTTTGTCACGCATGGTCGCCTTAAGATGGCGTGGTCCTCTTTTGAATCAGACCCAGCCTTCCACCGTTCGCGGTCTGAAGAAAGTGGCATCTAAGCCTCTAGGGCCTTGGGGCTTATCGGCTTATCGGTGCGGCTTTGGGAACTTGCAGTGCCCAACTTCGCATCTGAGGAACTCCTGGACGTGGAGTTAGAGGGAAGCCCCGCATTGAAGAGCAAGGCGCGGGGGACAGGGCCAGGGAGCTGGGGTCATGTTGAGACAGGCGCCATAACTCAAGACTACTATTACCACCACTACTACAACTACTACCACTTCCACAGTCACTACCATCACTACTATCAATACGATCACGACTTCCACCGACCACTACGACTGCCACTACTATGCTACCTCCTCTGCCACTGCCGAAACCAGATGAACCGTCACACTATCTGCAGACAGAGTACGATGAAGAATGTAAGTGGACATGATTGTCACAGGTGTTACCTACCACTGCGTGCACCTGATAGAGTAGGTAGATCGATCTCACAGAACAGCTTAAACCCTAAACCCCAAACCCTAAACCCTAAACACTAAACACTCCCTAAACCCTAAACCCTAAATCCTAAACCCTAAAGACCTAACAGCTTGCCGAGGTGCTCCACGTAGGCTTCCTGCCCCTGGGCCTGCAGGGCGTGGGGGAGGCTCCGGAGGCCCAGGGAGCCTCGAACTTTGGAAGGGCAGGGGACTTAGTAAGGGCTCTTAAAGGGCTCCTTAAAGGGATCTATAAGGTTCCTTAAAGGGATCTATGGGGTTTAGGGTTTAGGGTCTACTTGGAAGGGCAGGGGACTTAGTAAGTAGGTTATAAGTAGAGTTATAAGTATCCTAAATGGAGTTACCCCAATTATAACTTATAACCCTACTTATAACCTACTTACTAAGTCCCCTGCCCCTCCAAGTGGTTCCCCCAAAAGAATAAACAGACCGGCTAGTAGACCTTCTTAAATAATTCCTACTAAGGGATATAGGTGTAGGGCTCTGTCTATTGTTTCCAAAAGGACAAGGGTGACTGAGACCCCAAGGATTTTACCTCCCCTAAACCCCCATCCCGAATTCCCAATCCCTTAACCCTAATCCCGAAACCCTAAACCCTAAACCTCAATCCCTAATCCCTAAAGCTTAATCCTTAAACCCTAAACCCTTTAAAAAAAAGAGCCCTAAACCTCAAATACATTCTAGATGTCGGGAAATGTGTGGGTTGACGGCCGTCACCATAAATCCTCGTTTCCCCGACCTGGACCCAAAACCTTTGACCTGCGTTCTGAGTTTCGGAGCTGTAGCTTGCAGGAGGACTCCCAAGGCAGACCGGTCTTCGGGCTATGAAAGCAGTTACCCAGAGACTCCAATATCCCTGAATTAAGGAATATACCGTAAATTATAATAGGATCCCTTATATGATTCAAAGAATATTCCTTAATTAAGGGATATTGGAGTCTCTGGGTATGAAAGCAGTTAGAACGGACAAGGGGTCATTAGACCACAGGTATACAGTGCGGCAAGAGCCGCAACAGCTGTATCGTCATCGACCATCATCATAACTCATGACCGATCGACCTGCAGTTGCGTTTCTACAGATTCCCACCGCCGAGAGGTAAGCAGTAGTTGTGGAAACCGCAAACACCACAAACAGTTACTGAATGTTGAGCTTTGGCCCAAAGCAACGAATCACCCGAATCGACCGATGCCCTAAGCCCCAAGCCTGCGGACTCGCAGCAGCACGGAGTGGGACGTAGTCGTAGTAGTAGTCATCGTCGTAGTAGTCGTGACGGTGCTGGTGGTAGTGGTAGTGGTAGTGGTAGTGGTGGTGGTGGTGGTAGTAGTAGAAGTAGTAGTAGAAGTAGAAGTAGTCGTAGCAGTAGTAGTAGTAGTAGTAGTAGTAGTAGTAGTAGTAGTAGTAGTAGTAGTAGTAGTAGTAGTAGTAGTAGTACTAGTCGTAGTAGTAGTAGTAGTAGTAGTAGTAGTAGTAGCAGTAGCCGTAACCACAGTAGTAAGAACAGTAAGTTTGATAGTAAAATGCAATGAATAGCAGAGATAGCGATACCAATAGCAACAAGAGCAGCACTAGTAATAGTAATGGTAATAGTAATAGTAATAGTCGTACAATCACAATGACAACAGAAGCAATAAAGTAGTCGCAGCGAAACCGATATGGGAGTTTCCGAAAATAGGGGTACCTTATTCGGGGGTCCTTATAATAGGGATCCTACCATTTAGGGTGGTATATTAGGGTCCCCTATTTCCGGAAACTCCCATATCAATAAAAAATGTTAATAGTAATATGTAGTAATTGTAATAATTGTTAATAATAATACAAGAATCTGGGCTCTGATCGGAATCCTCGTGGTCGAGCCAAGGCTCGCCTGGGAAGGCGGCGATGCCGACCTCGCGAAAAGCATGGCCCAAGAGGTCTCCTTTTCCCTAACCCCCCACCACCCCCCACCAACCCCCGCGAAGCCCGAAGTTCGGTGGTTTAGGGTTTAGGGTTTAGGAGGACCCCCTATTCCCCACGAAGTTTGTGGGTTTAGGTCCTGAATGAAAAAAGATAGACTTAGCAAGTTGTTTTAGGGCTGCTGATTCTGGTTTAGCTTACCTTGCTCACTCAGGGATAGTTAGCTCTCTTGGAGATTTTATGGCTTCATGTCCCTACATAATTCACCCTGAAGTTCAAGCCCAACTTCTGCAGAAGCGTTCTGGGCTTGGGGAATCTCACGATAAAGTGTTAAGGGGTAGCGTGTTGACAGTTTGATGGTTCAGAGTGTGAGTTTCGGCGTGGTTACCCTCGACCCGCTTGCTTATGCTGCTGTCGATTAGTCTTACGATGTTGGTTCTGGTGCTGTTGCTTGCTTTTGGCACGTACCGTTGTTGGCTTGTGCCTCGTCTTGCTCTGCACCGGTCTTAAAATGTCGTCGTTCTTGCTCGCCTCCATATGGGAGTCAATATGTGCTCGTCTTGGCTGTAAGATCACATAGTATCCTTTTACTACCCTTATAGTACCCTTATAGTACCCTTATTATAGTAGCCTTATAGCATCCTTAAAGGGGCCCACTGACCGTTTCGCACTTGCAGCAGCTCCAGGCCTGGGAGAATGCCGTGGTAGCTTACGGGCCCGACTCCGCCGCTGAGCGTCAAATCATCTCAGGTGGTTTTTCTTACTGTTGGATAGTAGGGAATGGAAGAATGGTAGTGATAGTAGTTATAATTGTACCCCATTCCTCCATTCCCTACTAACCAAAGGTAAGTTTTGTGTGGTGTGAATTACCCAAAGACTCCAATATCCCTCCATAAAGGAATATACCTTAAATGTTTCAGGGATCTTAGAGTCTCTGGGTAGAGGGCCCCCCCCCACCCCGTGGTTCAACCCGGCACGTAAGCCCCCCAAACCCTTAACCGCTAAACCCCCGGAGCTCAACCCTGCACCAGCCGTGAGGATGCGCACCGACATGCCTGCACAGCAGCACCAGCATGCCATGTCGCAGGGCTTGAGACATGTCGGTTCTCTCAGAAATCTGAACTTGAGTTCAAGTCTTTTGAGTGGGAGGGTATCGCACCTCAACCCCCTGCATCCTTCGCCGAAACTCCCTAAACCCGAAACGCTGAACTCTAAAACCCGCACCTTGGGGTTAAAACCAGACCTTGGATTGTCCCACTCCCGAGACCCAAATCACAATTCCCAAACCCTTAAACCCCTCAACCCTAAACCCCTAAACCCCTAAACTCCTATAAAGCCCTAAAGCCCAAAACTCGAACCAAACACCCGAAACCCCAAACACCCTAAACCCCTATAAACCCATAAAGCCCTAAAGCCCAACACCCGAAACCCCAAACACCCTAAAGCCTAGAATCGTATAGATTCCTTATAGGAGCCCTCAAAGGAACCCTTTTAGATCCCTTTAAAGGAAACCAAAAAAGACCCAGGAGCGGGCAGCTCAGCTGAAGCTCTGTGCGTCCGGCGAGGTTCCCGACGAGGTCGCTTCGTCTCTCAGGGGTTCTTTGTGGAGGAGCCAAAAACGGTTTAGGGTTTAGGGTTCAGGGTTTAGGGTTTAGGGTTTAGAATTAGGGTTTAGGGTTTGGGGTTTAGGATTTAGGGTTTAGGGTTTAGGGTCCTCGGGGGCTTTTGGGATCAATTGAACCTCAAGGTTTGGGGCCTTTTTAGCTTTTGGGTTTAAGGTTAGGGGCTTTGGGACACGAAAAAAGCAGCTACACACTAAACTCAAACCCCACGCTTCAGACTCCTGAAACCCCAAACCCCAAGCAAGACCTTAGCTCCACCAAATTTTGTAGAAAAATCTGGGAGCGCATTAAGACTCGTCAACGGAAGACCCAACGAACTGAATCCTCCTTAAAAACCCCAAACTGGAAGACTTTAAAGTTTGAGTTCACTCATCAGAGGTATTCCGACCATGATCTTACAACTACAAGTCGAACGTAAGTTACAACTATGGTTCAAACATCGTAAAAAACCATATGATCCGAAGCCACCCTCGGCTGTTGACCTCGATCCGACAACCGCAAACCCAGCCAGCCTCAAATGCCACAAAACCCTAAAACCGAAAGCCTTACCCCTAGACCCTGAACCCTAAAGCCCTAAAACCCCTAAAACCTAAAACCCTAAACCCATAGCCCTTTAAGGTAAAATCCGTAACCCCGAAACCCTAAAGCCCTAAAGCCTAAACCCAGGATTTGGAGGACATTCTTCTCGAGCTTGATTCTTCAGAGTTTTCCGTGCCGGGTCCTCCTGGCCTGCTCGCGGAAGAGGACGACGATGACGACTAGTGGGGTTTAAGTTTTAGAGTTTAGGGTGTAGTGTTTCGGAGGTGTTTATCGGATTTTGGTCTAGGGCTTCGGGTCTTTCGGGTCTTCTCAAATGCAGGGCAGTCTAGGGTTAGACTTCGTGTTCTCGTCTTTAGCGGTCGCACTCGCTCGTTTGCAAGCCCAAAGTGGCTTTGGAGAGGCTTGCGAGAGGAAAGGTCGATCCAACACCCTCAGTGGATGCATACCTCACCCAAACCTATACGAACTGCATAGATTGATGATTCCGCTTCGTTTTAGTATTCTCTGTATTTCGGTGATCCGTAGCCTTTCAGGGTGGTGCTTCAGGATCCAAGGGGTTTGTGGCACCTTGTCTCAACGAGCTGGAGTTTCCTGCAAGTAAGTTGAGTCTCCGCAAGCTTCGCTTCTTCGCATTTTGGCTCAGCTTCAGATGGACCCTGCAAGAAGTGCAGCTCTCCGTCGGCTCTTACTGGTATCTTTGGGCCTGAGTCTTCTCGCGACTCTCAAACCCACGGAGCACATCAGGCCCTCGAACCTGTCCAGTGCGGTGAATGTCACTGAAAATGTGCCTTCGAACATCTCAACGCCAGCTGTGCACAGTTCAGAGCCCCTGGACACTCCCCCAACGCGACAAACGCCCGTGCAGAATCACATCTACAAGCTGGAGTCTGGCGTTGGCGACCCCTCCCAGGAAGCTTTCAGACTGGATCAGGAGCTGTTGGCCCGCGGCTGGGACGCGAAGAGATATCCCTGGCGCATGATTCAGCAGGGCGCATCTCGCAAGGCCATACTCTACGGTACGGCTTGGGCCCAGCAGATGATTTGGGATCATCAACATCCCAGAAGTTCAGCTGAACCGTTTGTATTAGGTTGTGTGATTTTGGACAGGTCTTAGGCGTGAAGTTTGGGTAGTCCACATGTCGGCCAACTGAGGAGATTGTCGCGACGCCAAGGTCTTAATATTTCGAACGGGACCCAGTGGAATTGGATCTATGTTGCATCAGCTTGGTCAAGCCTTGGCTTTGGCCATGGAGTTGGACAGAGTCCTAGTGGTCCCTGTCAAGGATACACTGCTTCAGTACTATGACAAGAGATTTTGCCCTGGCGCCCACAGCTGGCAGTGCTGGCTCCAAGAGATTGGTCCCTGTGCGCATGTGCACGGGGATGTCATGAAAGTAGACAAGCCCTACACGCAGACTACCCGGCCTGTGCCTACACGCTTTCATGAGATGTTGGCACAGTCTCCCATCAAGAAGGACTTCTGGCTTTACTGGTGGCGGGCTCAATCCATCACGTATCTACTTCGCTTTCAGGAACGGACGAGGCATGCGATTGACAAGTTGAGATCTGAGTCGTTGGTCTCCTGTGGGCGTCACGTAAATTCGTCCGGCATGCTGGCCGCTGGGAGCATGGCGACCTTTGTGCGCCACGGCTTCAAAAGCAGGAGAGGGTGGTGGAGCACGCCCTGAGCCTTAGATTGACGACTGCCTGTTCAACTTTTGCACTAGGCTGATGAATGGTAAGCGAGATCAAACAAATCTACTTTTGCACTGACCCGACCACTGGGGAACGAAGCTTACGGCTTAAGTTGCTTCTTCCATTGGCCCAGGAGTGACTACATTCGTGGGATGCAGCGGCTTGCAGCGGGGCGACAAGATTTGCGCATCTTGCACCGCGAGGTGGCTGAGAGCAACGCCAGCTTTCAGTATCCAGCTGAGTCCTTTGCAGCACGAAATATCTTTGTGTCAACGGATGACCCAGATGTGATCAAAGCGGCCCAGAAGCTGTGTAATCGGGGATGGAACGTAACTTATGTTGAGAAGAGGCGGGGGAACTATGATCCCTGGATGCATCTGAGACCGGGCAAGGCCGCCAGAAGAGAAGTCCTGTCAGCATTCATGAACCTCGAATTAGCCTTGGAGTCCGATGCCTGGGTGTGCACCCTCTCTTCCAACTGGTGCCGCCTGATCGACGAGCTTCGCATGACAGCTGCGGCCAAAGCGTCTCAACCGTTTCTAAACTTGGAGAAGGTGCCTTGCAAAGCAGGCAAGCCGCAATGCTACTTAGGCTGGTAATTGACATGAGCAGGGCCACCTGGTTCGTTGCAGGGCTTCGTTGGAATCTATTTTGGGTTGAGGGGCGGGCTTTTGATAGGCTTGTCTATCCACTTGTATTGGAGGAGCTAAGGAGCCAGGGATGATGATAATCCCTATTAAGGAGCTAAAGAGCCCAAGGAACCCCAAAACCACTGGCTAGCTGTAGACTACTATGGCTAAGGCTACGGGTGATTAGAAGTGGCTCCACCCGTGACCGAACTTTCTCATCCTCATGAGGCGCTTGTTGAGGCCAGGGTCAAGAGAGCCGAGACCACAAGACCCTACTTGGAGGTTCAGGGGTAGTTATAAGTGGGGTTTCAAGTCCCTAATATGGGTTATAAGTATAGCTATCTTTAGTTATAACCCTATAACAAGAACCCAGGATACGTCTTACGTATGACATCACCGAAGGGCTGAGGCTCGTCGACCCGGCTGGGCATTCGTCCAGGCTCTACTCGGATATGAATGGTACGACCGGAGATTCGCTTCCAGTGTGCTTGGGCCTCTGGCCTTGCATTGTGTCGAGCATCCTGGGTCTCAGCTAGCCGTACCGCTACTGGCTGGCCAAGCACGCTGTGAAAGGCGATTTCACCTTCTTGAAACGTGTCTGGTCTGCATGAGAGATCTGAATCAGCTGGAGTTTGTCGCAGCCACCGGTTCCTTCGGTGTATGAATGTCGATGCGAATCTTGATGATGGGTCCTCGAAGTCCAGGGGGGTCGATGAAGCTGCCAGTCGCGCGCACGGCTTGCCCCAAGAAAATGCAGGCGGGGGTGTCGGTACCGGTAGCATTGTTGTCATTGTTGGATCTGCACTGGATGGGGGTTGTATGCTACATAGTCTAGTGACTGAAGCTGTGAAACAGGGGTCAGCACAAGCTTGGAGAGCTTGATGTTTGCATCTACTGGTTTTGTTAGGTGACATGTTGTTCTCTTGGCTCAAGAGCTATGGTAGCTTCCGGGACTTCTTTGGAGGGTGTCGCCCCGTGAAAAATGGTGCACGTCTCCGTCGTTGCGTCTGTGCAGCATTAATGCCGGATGCTTGCCGGCTTGCCTCGACAGTTCTTCTCGGGGAGCTTCTTCAGGAGTGCGAGGTACTGCTTGTTACATGTGGCTGCGAATGCCGAGGCGTGTTTTTAAAGAGTCTGTGTGGATATGCTGTTGGTGAACATGTTCAGCCAGCCCGGTGCACGCTTCAAGATTCACGATTCAGCCAGTCGCGGGTCCAGTCTCGAGGTAAGTATCGTCCTGTCTACCACGCTCATCTTCCTGGCTTCTGCTGGCCCCGACTCAGAAGCCTGCCCTACCTGCAGGCAGGTGCTGTGGCTTTTTCAGGTTTCATCAATTCCGGCGGAGGCAAGTTCCAAATCACAGAAAGTTTGTTTCGCTCCCGAAGTGTTATCTTGATACCGTGCCTTAAGCTGGCTGCTGTATGAGCCTGGACACGATGGCACCTATACCTCTTGCGTTCGTATGGGTAGTTCTCTAAATCAGGGTCCCTTTGTAGGCCCCCCAAAATGGAAGGGCATCCTCATAAGAAGGACCTAAACACGGACCCTAATTCGGAAAATCACCCGTATCTTAAGCAGTGCTTTGGCATCGTGGCTTACTTGGAAGTTCAGGGGTAGTTATAAGTGGGGTTATAAGTCCCCTACTATGGGCTATGGGTATAGTTACCCTACTTTTAACCCTACTCATAGCTATCCATGAACCTCCAAGTAGGCAAGTAGGCCCTAAACCCTATACCCTTAGAGAATCCCTATAAATCCCGTTAAAGGGACCCTTATAAGTACCCGTGAACCTCCAAGTAGCGCAGGTCCGAGGGCGGGCGGGCCGCGGACGACTTGGCCCTGCTCCAGCATCACCTCTCCGCGGATGAGGCAGGAAGTTAGGGTTTAGGGTCTAGCGGCGTGGTATACTATAGAATATAATGGAGTATTATAAAATAGTATATTATACGTATATCATAGTATGTCATGGTATATTATAGTATATTTATAGTGAAGTATGTCATAGTATATAGTATGTTACATGAAGTTACCGTGGGTGGTATCATGTGGTATACCATCTACCAGTACCCGGTAAAAGCTTGCTGACTTTGGCACAAACTTTGATACATAGCACTGCGGTCCAACCTCGGGCTCTTGTGCGTATCTTTTCGTGGCGCACTAAACATTCACGTCCGGAAGCCGCCCTAAAAGAGCCTGAGCCCTAGACCCCGGAAGCCTACACCTCGGAAGCGCCAGCCCTAAACCATAAACCCTAATCCCTAATCCCTAAACCCTAAACCCTAAACCCTAAACCCCTACCCCTAAGCCCCTACCCCTAAGCAAGAACCTCAAAGTTCAAGCCGGGTCAGGATTGGCCTCGGAGGGCTCGCCGGAAGAGACGTCCCAGGATGCCCAGCCCTTAGGGTGGGGTTGCTCTGGGGTTTAGAGGGTTTAGGGTTTCGGGTTTAGGGTTTAGGGTTTAGGGTTTAGGGGTTAGGGGTTGCTTTGGGGTTTAGAGAGTCTAGGGTGTTAGGGGTTCTTTAGGGTTTAGGGTTTTTAGGGTTCAGTGAGGCTTCGAGCCGTTTCAGCTGTGCTGGAAGGGCTCCGGTCATGAGGCGTCATGGTTAGGGTTTCGGGTTTAGGATTTAGGGTTTAGGGTTTAGGATTTAGGGTTTTGGGTTCAGGGTTTAGGGCTAAGATATGGGCGATTTTCTAAACTAGGGTCCCTTTGTAGCCCGTTCTATATTTGGGGGGCTGCAAAGGGACCCTGATTTGGAGAACTGAACATGTGAATAGCATCTTCGAGAATTTTCCAAAGCTTCCCTACTGAGCTTACTGAGGGTTTCCGGGTTCAGAGGTTGAAGCTAGTGCATAGGCAATTCCGGCGTGGTAGAATCCGGTACCCGTACGTGAGACTACCGCGGTGCAGGCACGTGCGAAAGCAGGCCAACAAAAAAATGGCCCAGAACTCGTCCATTTCTAGACCATACTTGGAGGTTCATGGGTACTTATAAGTGGGGTCATTAAGTAGGGTAACTATGGCTACAACCTGTATGAAGGGCTTATAACCCCACTTAAAACGACCCCTGAACCTCCAAGTAAACCTCCGGTATGAACGCCCCTTTGCTTCGTGTGCCTCCGACCTTTGCAGCTCGTGTCGGAGCATGTTCCCAGGCAGCGCCGCGGGAAGGCCGCTTGGCCGCCTGTAACAATGGTAATACTAATGGAAGTAGCAATTAATAATAGTCATAGTCGTCAAAATCATAACAATATAATAGTTCATAGTAGCAACAGCACAAAGAACAGTATTAATAGTACAACTAGTCATAATAAACTTCTGCAGCTCTTATGTTGGGCGGCAGCTTTAAGCTTTTGAGCGCCTAGCGTTTCGTGCACGCCTGGGAGGCTTCTGGTCTTATGTTAACCAGCAGCTCTACGGTTGATGATATAGATCCTGCATTACCCATGGTAAGGAATGTACCATAAATCCCATAGTTTAGGGCCCTTAAGGTAATGCAGGATTTATATCATCAACCGTATTCCGAATCGAGCAGCGAACCGGATCGGCTTCCCGACTCACCCGAGGAGTGCTGGTCGTCCTTACCACGAAAGCTGATTTTGGCATAGGGGCTATCCGAGGCGTACTACTACAGCCACGACAACGGCGACAACTTGCCAGAGAACCCCACCACGACTGCTGCTAGTTAGCACTTGAAGCTCCTGGCCCAATGCGGTATCTGACCTAGGGTTTAGGGTTTCCTCTGACCTGTCGCTAGGCGCAGTCAAGGCAGCATGTCATGCGGCGCTGAGACGCTGAGCTGGAAGGACTTGTGTTGTAGTGTAGTGTAGGAGTGAGCGACTGCTTGTGTTGCTGGACCAGAGCTGGAAGTGTCTCGATCCGGTATTTGCCGGTCAAGCTCTTGTCCCAAACAGTACCGAGCTGTCTCGAGGCGCTCTACCGTCAAACCTAAACCCAAAGCAACTCCGAATCATCAAACCTGTGAGCCCTAAACCCCAACCAAACCCTCCTTGGAGCTTCATGGGTAGGTATATGTAGGGTTGTAAGTAGGGTAACTAGACGTATAACCCATATTAGGGGACTTATAACCCCTCTTATACCTATACCCCCGAGCCTCCAAGTGAGCCCAAAACCCTATACCCTTATAGAATCCCTATAGATCCCTTTAAAGGAACCCCACTTATAACTACCCATGAACCTCCAAGTACAGCCCTTGAGCCCCAGCCCTGATCCGGAATTCTGAGTTTCTTGCTCTGGCAGGGTGAGTTCTTCTGCTTTGCACTGTCCCAGAGACTCCAGTATCCCTTTTTGAAGGATTTATACCTTAAATCATATTGGGGATCCTACTATTCATTTAAGGCATATATTCCTTAATGGAGGGATATTGGAGTCTCTGGGGTCAGGCGGACTTGCCGCCGGACGCGCCGGTGCCAACGACGGTCACGGTTCCTGGCCCTGCAACTGGAGCCCCGAAGTCGGCAAGGCCCCAAACCCCTGAGGCCCTTGCCCACCCACCCACCCACCCACCACCCACCCACCCACCCGCGCACGCCCGCCCGCACGCCCGCACGCCCGCATGCAGGCACTTGCAAGCACTGGCCTGTTAAGCGATTTTGCAGTTGCCGATGTGTTTTCGCAGCGGCAGTGAATCGAAAATCTTATATGACCCAGTGCACTCCGGGGCTGGCGATTTCCTTTGCTTTGCGCTGTGAGGTGCCGGTGACCACGTCGACCACCACGGTCCCTCGGCCTGCTGAGGAAGCTTAAGTTCAGGGTCGGAGAGTCAAACCCGAGAGTCCTCAAGAATCGGTTTAGGGTTTAGAGTTTAGGGTTTAGGGATTAAGCCCTTTTTCCCCATACCTGAAGCAATCTAGGCGGCTCCCATGTGGATTTTGGGTGATCTGCACGACACCTGCAACGACCTTTGCCAGTATAACGGCTACGGCGGCTGTGGGGCAGATGAGATCGCAGAGCTCGACACGCCCGCAAAAGTTGAGGATCAGATTTTGAACACGAGTGGCAAAACATGCACCACCACGCAGATCAAAAGCTACGGTGCCTTCTTCGATCCAGTCGACGACCCAGCGACAGGCAAGTGCTTTTATGTCAGCGGGACCGTCGACTGCGATCGCAACGACAAGAAATGGGAGCAGCCCCTGTGCTTCTGCAACGGGACGACCGTTACGACCACTCCGGATGTTGCTTGCATGCACAATTTTCTTTAAGGAGGCGTATGTATTTTTGGATTCTTTTTTTTTTGGGGCATTTTTTTTTTCTTTGGCTTGTGTGCGCGCTTGGCTTGGCGGGCCAGGGTTTTTTTTTTCAAAGGTGCGGCCAACCCTTGTTTGCGAGGTGCGGCCAAGGGTCCCTGGTGCAGGCGGTCCCCTGGTCCTTGGTCCTGTGGTCCCTTGGTCCTTGGTCCTCTGGTCTGCTGGTCCTCTAGTCCTTGGTCCTGCGGTCCCTTGGTCGTCTGCTCTTCTGGTCCTGTAGTCCCCTGGTCCTCTGGTCTGCTGGTCCTCTGGTCCCGTGGTCTCCTGGTCCCGTGGTCTCCGGTCCGCCGGTCCCTCGGTCCCGTAACAGCAACAAGAACGCAGACAAGGAATACATTCGCCAAAGCACAAGAAGAAGAAAGCCAGACAACAACGCGTCAGGGTGGATTAATGCGAAGTAAACACAATCAATCGTGAAGGGTTTAAAAGGTTTGCAGGCTGCGCCCCCCCAGCCCCCCCACTTTTTTTTTAGACTAAACTCCCCGCTCACTGGCACGAAGAGATGCACAAAAACGTATTCGCCAACACAGAATAATGAGAAAGCCAGACAACAACGCGTCAGGGTGGATTAATGCGAAGAAAACACAATCAGTCGTGAAGGGTTTAAACGGTTTGTAAATACAACAAAGCGTCAGGGTGGTTTAATGCGAAGTAAACACAATCAATCGTGAAGGGTTTAAAAGGTTTGCAAATGGGGGGGGGCTGCGCCCCCCCCAACCCCCCCGCTTTTTTTAGACTAAACTCCCCGCTCACTAAAGGCACGAAGAGATGCACAAAAACGTATTCGCCAAAACACAAGAAGAAGAAGTCCAGACAACAACGCGTCAGGGTGGTTTGATGCGAGGAAAACACAATCAATCGTGAAGGATTTAAAAGGTTTGCAACTGGGGGGGTGGCTGCGCCCCCCCAACCCCCCCGCTTTGTTTAGGCTAAACTCCCCGCTCACTAAAAAGCCGCGAAGAGATGCACAAAAACGTATTCGCCAAAGCACAAGAAGAAGAAAGCCAGACAACAACGCGTCAGGGTGGTTTAATGCGAAGTAAACACAATCAATCGTGAAGGGTTTAAAAGGTTTGCAGGCTGCGCCCCCCCAAGCCCCCCCGCTTTTTTTTGGCTAAACTCCCCGCTCACTGGCACGAAGAGATGCACAAAAACGTATTCGCCAACACAGAAGAAGGAGAAAGCCAGACAACAACACGTCAGGGTGGTTTAATGCGAAGAAAACACAATCAGTCGTGAAGGGTTGAAAGGGTTTGTAAATACAACAAAGCGTAAGGGTGGCTTAATGCGAAGTAAACACAATCAATCGTGAAGGGTTTAAAAGGTTTGCAAATGGGGGGAGCCAACCCCCCCGCTTTTTTTAGGCTAAGCTTCCCGCTCACTAAAAAGCCGCGAAGAGATGCACAAAAACGTATTCGCCAAAGCACAAGAAGGAGAAGTCCAGACAACAACGCGTCAGGGTGGTTTAATGCGAAGAAAACAGAATCAATCGTGAAGGATTTAAAAGGTTTGCAACTGGGGGGGTGGCTGCGCCCCCCCAACCCCCCCGCTTTGTTTAGGCTAAACTCCCCGCTCACTAAAAAGCCGCGAAGAAATGCACAAAAACGTATTCGCCAAAACACAAGAAGAAGAAAGCCAGACAAGAACGCGTCAGGGTGGTTTAATGCGAAGTAAACACAATCAATCGTGAAGGGTTTAAAAGGTTTGCAGGCTGCGCCCCCCCCAAGCCCCCCCGCTTTTTTTTGGCTAAACTCCCCGCTCACTGGCACGAAGAGATGCACAAAAACGTATTCGCCAACACAGAAGAAGGAGAAAGCCAGACAACAACGCGTCAGGGTGGTTTAATGCGAAGAAAACACAGTCAGTCGTGAAGGGTTTAAAGGGTTTGTAAATACAACAAACCGTCAGGGTGGTTTAATGCGAAGTAAACACAATCAATCGTGAAGGGTTTAAAAGGTTTACAAATGGGGGGGGCTGCGCCCCCCCCAACCCCCCCGCTTTTTTAGACTAAACTCCTCGCTCACTAAAGGCACGAAAGATGCACAAAAACGTATTCGCCAAAACACAAGAAGGAGAAGTCTTGACAACAACGCGTCAGGGTGGTTTAATGCGAAGAAAACACAATCAATCGATTTAAAAGGTTTGCAAAGGGGGGAGGTCCCCGATGAACCCTCCACAGGGATACTGCGTGTCGAAGCGCCGGCGCTGTGGCGCGGTGCAAATTTTCAACGTCCCCGATGAAGCTTCCACAGGGATCCTGCGTGTCGAAGCGCTGGCGCTGTGGTGCGGTGCAAATTTTCTACGTCCCCGATGAACCCTCCACAGGGATCCTGCGTGTCGAAGCGCTGGCGCTGTGGCGCGGCGCAAATTTTGTATGTCCCCGATGAACCCTTCACAGGGATCCTGCGTGTCGAAGCGCTGGCGCTGTGGTGCGGTGCAAATTTTCTACGTCCCCGATGAACCCTCCACAGGGATCCTGCGTGTCGAAGCGCTGGCGCTGTGGCGCGGTGCAAATTTTCTATGTCCCCGATGAACCCTTCACAGGGATCCTGCGTGTCGAACCTGAACAGATCCTTGGCCGCACCTAGGAAAAAAAAGGGTTGGCCCTCCGCCGGCTTGGCTTCTCGGCTTCCCTGGCTTCTTGGCTTCTGGCTTCTTGGCTTTTCGGTTTCTTGGCTTTTTTCTTCGGCATAGAGAGCCTCATAAATCAGTCCTTAAGTCACGCCCTCAACCCTAAGCCGAGCCGAGGCGAATTTAGGTCAGTAAAGCGGGATAGAAGTTAAAAAAAATTAAATAAGGATCAAAAAATTAAATAAGGATCAAAAAAAATTAAATAAGAATCAAAAAAATTAGACGGGTATCCGCGAAAGGAAGGGGAAAAAGGAACGAAAGACAGAGAGACAGAGAGAGAGAGAAGGAAAGAAAGAAACAACGAAAGAAAGAAATAACAAAAGAAAGAAATAAAGAAACAACGAAAGAAAGAACGAAATAAAGAAATAAAGAAACAACGAAAGAAAGAAATAACAAAAGAAAGAAAGAAAGAAACAACGAAAGAAAGAAAGAAAGCCATGCAAGAAACAGAGAAATAAGTAAATAAAGAAAGCTATAAGTAAAGAAAGAAAACAAAAATAGAGAACTAAGTAAAGAAAGAAAGCTACAAGGAAAGAAAAAAGAAAACACAAGGAAAGAACCAAAGAGAGTTGACAACTTAGAGAAATACCACGGAATCCGTAGGAAAATCGTGTTTTCACTAAGAAAAACCAAGCAAATCCTTAGGAAACGAAAGAAAATCCCTAGGAAAGCAGTGTTTTCCCTTGGAAAAATTCAAGAATTGCTGTATCTAAAAAGCAAGAAAGAAAGACAGAAAGAAAGAAAAAACGAGAGAGAGAACGAAAGAACGAAAGCAAACACAAGAGGAAGAACGAAAGCAAGAACCAAAGAAAGAAACTTTAAGGAAATACAACGGAATCCGTAGGAAAATCGTGTTTTCCCGAACCAAAAACCAAGCAAATCCTCAGGAAATGAAAACGAATCCGTATGAACACAGTGTTTCCCCTGGGAAAAATTCAAGAATTGCTGTATCTAAAGAGGACGAAAACAAGGAAAACAGAAAGAAAGAAAGATAGAACGAGAGAGAGAACGAAAGAACGAAAGCAAAAACGAAAAAAAGAACGAAAGCAAGAACGAAAGAAATAACGAACCAAAGAAAGAACGAAATAAATCAAACCAGAAAGGAAAGCAAGAAAGAAAGGAAGGGAGTATGAGATGAACAAAGAAAGAACAACAGAAAGAAAGAAAAGAAATGAACGAGCGAAAGAAAGAAAGAAGTCCAGAATAAAAAAGCAAAGTTGGAAAATACGAAAGAGAAAGAATATGAAAAATCACAGAAACAAAGATACAAGCAACAGGATACTACATAGCCCAATCGAATTTACCATAATATCGTAATGTACCGTAACATAATATAACATAATGTAAATGTAACCTATAAAATATACTACATATTATGTTGTAAATATACACACTGTACTGTACTATGTTACAATGTACTACACTATAAACTAAGATGTTGTTTTGTTCTATGTCATCTTCTGTTATATTGTATTGTTGTATTTTTAGTATTCTATTATATGCTATAAGAAGCAAGGTTCTGTTATGTCAGAAAATGTCACACCATTTTTGTGTTGTCGAACCATCTTATGTCGTTCTTCTGGTTTACTATGTTATATATATATATTAGGTTAGAATGCTAACGGAAGAAGAGACACGAACAGGCACGGAAGAACAAAACACCCGCCGCCGCGCTTTTCGAGACGTGCAAGCTTGATTCAAAGAGTGTTTTCGAAGCCCATCATGTGAACGTTGTCTCTGCAAATGGGGGGGGCTGCGCCCCCCCCAACCCCCCCGCTGTTTTAAGCCGTGCAGGGTTGCTTTGATTCATATGCCTTTTTTTGAAACCCAGCGAATGAGGGCATTAGGGGTACCTTATTTTGGGCGCCTCGCAATAAGGATCCTACTATTTTATGGGCCCCTATTTTCGACAACTATTACTATTACTTTTACTCTTCCTATTGCGATTGCTATTGCTATATTACTATTGCTATCGCTTTTGCTATTGCTATTGCTATTACTATTACTATTGCTCTTGCTGTTGCTATTGCTGTTGCTGTTGTTATTGCTGATTGCTACTACTTTTACTCTCACTGCTACTATTACTCTTACTCTTACTCTTACTATTGCTGTTGCTGTTGCTATTGCCATTACTACGACTACTATTACTACTACTACTACTACTACTACTACTACTACTACTACTACTACTAGTGCTACTACTACTACTACTACTGCTACTACTAGTACTACCACTACTACTACTACTACAACTACTACTACTACTACTACTACTACTGCTACTGCTACTGCGACTGCTACTGCGACTGGTGCTACAACTACAACTACAACTACTACTACTACTACTACTACTTCTACTACTAGGGGTCTTGTTGGGTTTAGAGCTAGGCGGCATTTGAGGTTTTCGGATGTAGGACTTGTTCTGTGGGCCTAGAGTGGGCGCGGAAAATGTTTGGGTTTGGGGTTCAGGGTTTAGGGTATGGGGTGTAGGGTTTAGTGCAAAGAGTTTAGGGTTTAAATTTAGGGTTTCGGCTTAGGGTGC